AAACTATGTCAGAATAGTGTGTCAGGGTGGGGATCACTCTTAGTAAGGCCCCTTTTGCCCCTCTCTTGTCCGGTTTGCCTTTTTCCCCCTGTTTGTCTTCCGCCCGGCGCCGCAGCTCCGTTTTCCGGTCCTCCTTGCCCCCCTGTTCCCCCTGTTTCCCCGTCCCCCCGAAATCCCTTTCCCCCCGTGCCCCCTTTCATCGATTAGGGGTTGGTTTAATGGACTTGGAACTCTAGCTGGCACTGCAAATCCCTGTAACCCTGTAGACCAACTGTAGTGGCAAAAAAGATTGTGAACACAACAGAATCAGCATCATTTTGATCAGGCATTCTTCCTTTTTCTAATCCTTTCTCCCTATTACGAGAAAATACCCCCAAAATGACAACAACTAGGTGCGATTTCTCAAATTTTGGGAAATGTCAATTGGTTAATTTTGATTTTTTAATTGATTCCCCTTGAGGAACAATTTAAAAAAATGAGGTACCATGTAGGGTTTCACCCCAAAGGAATAAAAAACTAGTCAACACCGGGGTGTCTTTTATTGGGGTCCGTCCTTCAAAATCGTCAATTTTAGTTTTTTTAATTCAGGTGTTGGTGTTTTATTTGATACTAGGCGAAAGCTTCGAAATCCTATTCTTGGCAGTATTCTATTTAAAGATTATTTTCATGGATTTTGAAATTAGAAACAAAAAACGGTTTAATCCCTTCCCCCTGTTGCTAAACAGTCGCCCCTTCACCCACCCACCCAAATAACAAACACCTGGAGGAGTTTTTAGTATTGGGGGGGTCTTTAGTATTAGGGTACGAAGCTTCCCTCTAATACTGATAAAAAAACACACATATATATATATTTATATAAATATATAGACATATTTCTATTTCAAAATCGATCAGATTTCTTTCTTTTTAAATCCAATTAAAATATGGCAAACAAGTGGATTCCGAAGCTTAATATCAAATAAAAACCCCCAACATAAAAAAACTATGTATGTTTTTCTATTTCGAAATCGATTAGATTTCCTTTTAAAAATTTAAATAAAATATGGCCAAAAAATTGGATGTCGAAGCTTTTCCCTATATTAAACCCTAATATCATTTTGTTTTTTTTCCTGTTTCAAAATCGATTAGATTTCCTTTTGGAATCTAATGAAAGAAACAAAAAACTGATTTTGAAGCTTTCCCCTAATATCAAATTAAAATCTAATTATTAAAATATGTTCAAAAATTGGATTTCGATGCTTCCCCTAATCTTGCATGAAAAATTCCAATATAAAAAACTAAATTTGTTCTATTTCAGAATCGATTAGATTTCCTTGTAAATTCAAATTAAGATATTGCCAGAAATTGGATTTCGAAGCTTTCCCTTCATATTAAACCCTCATATCAAAGACTATTTTTTCTATATCAAAATTCATTAGATTTCCTTTTGAAATCTAATTAGAATATGGTCAAAAATTGGATTTTGAAGTTTTCCCCTAATATTACATTAAAAAACCCTAATATAAAATATTATTTTTTCTTTTTGAAATCGATTCGATTTCCTTTTAAATTGTAGTAACAAAAATAAAAACAAAAACCGGATTTCGAAATGTTTCCTCTAATATTAAATTACCAGCCCTAATATATTTAAAAAAAAACTGTTTCAAAATCGATTAGTTTTCTGTTTAACATATAATTAAGATATTGCTAAAATTGGATTTCGAAATTTTCCCCTAAGATTAAATTAAAAACACTAATTAAAAAAACTATGTTTTTTCGATTTCAAGAATCGATTAGATTTCCTTTTGACGTCCAGCAAAAATATTGCCAGGAAATGCCAAAAAGTGGATTTCGAAATTTTCCTCAATATTATATAAACGTTGTAATATAAAATACTTTTTTTTCGACCTTAAAAGACCCTAGTTTAAAAAATCACCGGGGCTGACTAGTTTTTATTTTTTGGTGGTGAAATCCTGAAATGGGACCTTCATGTTTAATTTGTTTTTGAAAAGGTATCAATTAAAAGTCAAACTGGCCAGCCTGAAATTTCCCAAAATTTAACGCGGACCCTAGTAAAAGGAATCAATGTAATATTTTAGTATTTAGGGTACGTTTAGTAAAAGGAGGTGGGGATTAGTAAGGTTTTCAATTTAATATAAGGGGAAGCTTCGAAATCCAATTTGGCAAGATTTGAGTTAGATTTTGAATAGGAATTAAATCGGTTTTGAAATATAAAGTTCATTTTTTTAAACGAATGTTTTCAATTTAATGTCAGGGGGAAGCTTCGGAATCCAATTTTGGCAATATTTTAGTTAGATGTTATTTAAAAAATGTTTTCCAATTTAGTTTTTTTAAACCAAGGGGGAAGTTTCGCACCCTCATATTAAATACCCACTAAATACAAAAAATTATTCCGTGTGTTCATTATTGGGTGGGGAGGGGCAGACGGTTTATTATGACGCAGGGATTGGTCAGGCATCACTTGCTGGAATTATTGGATTCTTTTGGGATGATTGGTTATGATGTTTAGTCAGGCATGGTTCCCTTCAGTCATGCACGATTTTTGCAAAAATCCTATTTAGGCACGACCCCAAAATCCCAGCCCGGCAAATTCCGGCCCGGGCCCGGCAAATTCCGGCCCGCGCCCTGCAAATTCCGGCCCTGCGTTTTTCCAAAATCAGGCAAAACCAGTAAATCAGGTATTAAGTCAGGTGTAGTTACCTTTTAAGTCATTAAGGCTAGTCAGGCATGGTTCCAGTGGGTACCTTTTAATTGTGAAGGCTAGTCAGGCATGGTTCCCTGAATTCAGGGGCATGGGTACCTTTTAATTATGAAGGCTAGTCAGGCATGGGTTCTGTTAAGTCAGGCGTGGGTGGGTACCTCTTAATTATGAAGGCTAGTCAGGCATGGTTCCCTTAAGTCGGGTGTGGTTACGCTTTAAGTCATGAAGGCTAGTCAGGCATGGGTACCTTTTAAGTGATGAAATCTGAATCAGGCGGAGCTCCTATTCTAAATGTGTTAAATCCAATTGTTCAGTGTGGAAAATCGATTTTTTTTGGCTGGTCTACGGGCAAACCCTGTGTCTTCCAATACCATAGCGTGCTGATGTCGCTTGCCTGCATAATAGTTAAGGCCAAAGCTTAGGTCATCAGTGTGATCCTGAAATGGCGCCACGACCAAGAAGATGACATGTGTAAAATGGGCCCTGGATTAACAAAGGCTGACTAATGATTTGGAGGATGCCACTAAAGTATGACATGTAATCACTTTTGAGGAGCACTCTATGGCACGCAGCGCGCGCAGCCTGCTTTACGGTTTAGCGTTTGAAAGTTTTAGGCTTTGCCTCTATGGCACGCAGCGTTTGAAAGTTTAACCGTTTACCTCTATGGCAGGCTGCGCGCGCAGTACGCGTTACGGTTTAAAGTTTGAAAGTTTTAGGGTTTATGTGTGTGGCACGCAGCGCGCGCAGCGCGCATTAGGGTTTAGGGTTTGGAAGTTTTATAGTTTATTTTATTGCACGCAGCGTGCACAGCGTGGGTTGAACTTTAGGGTTTCGAAGTTTTAGGGTTAACCTCCATGACACGATGGTTTAGGGTTTGGAGATTTTAAGGGGTACTTCTATGGCACACAGCGCGCGCAGCGCGCGTTAGGGTTTAGGGTTTAGGGAAATTTTAGGGTTTACCTCTATGACACGAGAGTTTCAGGTTTGAAGATTTTAGGGTTTATTTCTATTGCACAAAGCGCGCGCAGCGCGCATTAGTGTTTAGGGTTTGAAGGTTTTAGGGTTTATCTCTGGCACGCAGCGCGCACAGCACGCATTAGGGTTTAGGGTTTGGAAGTTTTAGGGTTTATTTTATTGCATGCAGCGCGCACACCGCGGGTTAAACTTTAGGGTTTGGAAGTTGCATAACACGATGGTTTAGGGTTTGGAAATTTTAGGGTTTACTTCTCTGGGACACAGCGCGCGCACTGCGCATTAGGGTTTAGGGTTTGGAAGTTTTAGGGTTTACTTTATTGCATGCAGCGCGCGCAGCGCGCATAGAGTTTAGGGTTTGGAAGTTTTAGGGTTTCAAGGGTTCCAAGGTTCCAGGGTACCAGGGTCCCACGGTTTCAGGGTTCCAAGGTTTCCAGGGTTCCAAGGGTTCCAAGGGTTCCAGGGTCCAGGATCCCAGCAGGGTGCCAGGTGTGCAGGGTTGCAGGGTTCCAAGGTTCCAGGGTTCCAAGGTAGCAGGGTTCCAGAATCCTTGAGGGTTCCTGGGTGCCAAGGTTCCAAGGTTTCAGGGTTCCACGGTCGCAGGGTTCCAAGGTTCCAGGGTTTCAGGGTTCCAGGGTTCCGGGGTTCCAGGGTTCCAGGGTTCCAGGGTTCCGGGGTTCCAAGGTTTCAGGGTTCCAGGGTTCCAGGGTTCCAGGGTCCCACGGTTTCAGGGTTCCAAGGTTTCCAGGGTTCCAAGGGTTCCAAGGGTTCCAAGGGTTCCAAGGGTTCCAAGGGTTCCAGGGTTTCAGGGTTCCAGGATCCCAGCAGGGTGCCAGGTGTGCAGGGTTGCAGGGTTCCAAGGTTCCAGGGTTCCAAGGTTGCAGGGTTCCAGAATCCTTGAGGGTTCCAGGGTGCCAAGGTTCCAAGGTTTCAGGGTTCCACGGTCGCAGGGTTCCAAGGTTCCAGGGTTCAGGGTTCCAGGGTTCCGGGGTTCCAGGGTTCCAGGGTTCCGGGGTTCCAAGGTTTCAGGGTTCCAGGGTTCCAGGGTTCCAGGGTTCCGGGGTTCCAAGGTTTCAGGGTTCCAGGGTTCCATTCCGGATTTTGAAGGCTGCAAGTCCCCGCGAGCCAGCCCCAGCCCTAGAGATTGAAACCCAACAGGCCCTGCTGTTGGGAATATACAACCAAATGTATGATATATTAGAATATATATATATACATGTATACATAAATAAATACATATATATATACATAACCAGTGAATAACCCTCATACCTTGCTATGTTGCATTTTCAATCCGTTGAAGCTGTGGCACCATCGACGCACTGAGGAAGCCCAGGCCACTTCTGTGGAGAAGGCCACAGCCAGCGCCACGCGCAGAGCCAACGCCACCAGGCACTGGCTAGGATATAGATGGGATATTAGATGGGATATACTGTACATTTAATATACATATGGATATATGGGATATATATATATAATGATATATATATATGGGATATGTTATACATATGGTATATGTTTATATATATATGGGATATAATGTCGGCATTACCCAAAATGTGATGATTTGTCATCATTTTGTCTATCAAAATGGCTAGAATTTGGGTATACATCCTATTTTCAGACAGATCCTATAAATGGTAAATATAAAGGGATGATAATCTGAATGAATTAGTTCACGATGATCATGACCGAACCCCTTGCGATGTTACTGGAACAGAGGGGATTGGGGTAACCCCAAATGACCGAACTTTTTAGGTGAGTGAACAATAAGTATAGTTTATCCAGATCAATGGAAGTGCTCTCATCTCCTGGGCATGTGATCCATCATCACCATCCAACACCATTCTTGATGAGTTTTCATCAGCACCATCCATCCGCAATCATCACACTCCAACATACATTGTTACATCATCATACTCCAACACCAATCATCACTATCCATCAATAAGTATCTATCACTCTCCGTTGCTATACACCATCCAACACTGTAGTACCTCCACGGAAAATCTTCAATTCACCATCCAGGCTTGCATTTGCTCTCAGCAAGCACAAAAGCATGGCTTCTGTTGAAACAAATGTTTGGCTATTTGGTGTTAGGAAATCGTAGCAGCTCCAAGTTACCCTAATTCAGAACTGATAGTAAAGCAATAATAAACCATCCCCAAATATCTCCAAACTTACCACAAATGGTTGCTACAAAACAGCGATCCAGGTCCGCCTCTGCCACTGTCAACGAAGGTGTGGGTCGGGAGATCAGCTTGGACTGGTATCGAGATGTCGACGTAGATTAGATATTGGTGCCCTGAACCATTTTTGTTACTGAAATAGAATAACATACCATACATATAAGGATATTATACTCTAATATAATATGTTCATATGTATATATAATTATATATATATACTTTTAATATATTTTAATATACTTTTATAATCTTATATATATATATATACATACATATCCTGATTCAGTCGAGGTTCCCTTGAGTCTGAGACACGCCCGGGTCTTTCTGCAACGGCTGGCGGATCGGGCTCTCGAGGTGTTGATGTGCAGCTGTCTCAGACCGGCACAGGCGTGCCATGGGGGTTTCCATAGTCATGGGGATACCCCAATAGCTGGATGGATAATGGACAATTCTATTCAAATGGATGATTTGGATTGATTTGGGGGTATTCCCATGACTTGGGAAACCTCCAGTTTTTCCAGGTTTACGGTGAGGAAGCTGTGCTTCAGCACAGCTTTTTTGCTAGACATTCGATTGCATTTTGCAGGTCCAAATCAGAAGATGCTTTAATGCTTTCAGGTAAGATGTTTCAAGAGCCAACTAATGATTGGAGAGGCACATATACACAGAACTTCTTCAGGAATTGAACGTTTTCTATGTTGAATATGATTAGGTTATTGGGTGATGTTTGAATATGTTTTTAAATATGTTCTTATTCACATATATATATAATATTGTATATATTGAATCATCATTTCTGTGAGTTATCGAAGGAAGTTTTGAAGTCAAACTTCAGAAGAGAAGAAGAGAGAAGATCAGAGAAGAGAAAGAGTCAGAAGAAAGAAGATCCAATTGCAAAAAACACAACTCCAACCACCTTTCGATCCATCAGTGGATTCGCTCTGCCATCCGTGACTCACAACAACCAACCTCTCCTATAGGTTTCTTATTTTTGAAATTTCCGCCACCGCCTTGTGTGGTACTACTGGTATACAAAGGTAGATGTATATTATCCATCCATACGCACGGCAATTTGTTTTTCCCACTTGACCCATGTCTTGGGGAGAGGGATCAAAAAAAAACAAATAAGGATCAAAAAAAAACAAATAAGGATCAAAAAAAAACAAATAGGGATCCAAAAAAAACAAAATCCAGAAAACATGAGAAAACACAAGGAAACTATCACGAAATGAAGGCAAAACCCTTGGATCAAAAAAAACAAAATCAGGACAGGAAAGAAAGAAAGAAAGAAAGAAAGAAAAGAAGGAAGGAAGGAAGGAAGGAAGGAAGGAAGAAAGAAAGAAAGAAAGAAAGAAGTAACCTTCTCTTGAAAAATGGAAGGAAAGCTTCCTTCTCTTGACCCCCCCACCCGCTTTTATTTTTTAGCCGGCTCCCCTTGCTACCTACTATTCTTTTTTTCACAAGCATCATCGTTGTTTATTTGGATTCATTTAATCTTGATTGATATCCATCGCGACTTGTGCCTATGTACTTCTTTCTTGGTACGCATTGCGGGGGGAGGCGCTGCGCCCTCCCCCCTGCACCCCCACCCGCTTTTTTTTTAATCGGTTCCCCTTGCTACCTACTACTCTTTTTGTTTTTCATAAGCATCACCGGTTATTTGGGTTCATTTTATCTTGATTGATATCCATCGAGATTTGCGCGTATGTACTTCTTTCTTGGTACGCATTGCGGGGGGAGGCGCTGCGCCCTCCCCCTGCACCCCCCCACCCGCTTTTATTTCTTAATTGACTTCCCTTGCTACCTACTCTCTTTCATTTTTTTCATAGGCATCGTTTCTTTGGGTTCATCTTCTCTTTCTTAATCTTTATTTATATCCATCGAGACTTGAGCCTGTGTGCTTCTTTCTTGGTACGCATTGCGGGGGGAGGCGCTGCGCCCTCCCCCCTGCACCCCCCCACCCGCTTTTATTTTTTAATCGACTTCCCTTGCTACCTACTCTCTTTCATTTTTTTTCATATGTATCGTTTCTTTGGGTTCATCTTCTCTTTCTTAATCTTTATTTATATCCATCGAGACTTGAGCCTGTGTGCTTCTTTCTTGGTACGCATTGCGGGGGGAGGCGCTGCGCCCTCCTCCCTGCACCCCCCCACCCGCTTTTATTTTTTAATCAGCTTCCCTTGCTACCTACTTTATTTCTTTTTCTTCGCAAGCATCGTTTATTTGGGTTTATTTTTTATATAATCAATGTTTTCATTCTTGCTGCTACTACTACTACTACTGCTACTACTAGTACTACTACTACTACTACTACTACTACTACTACTACTACTACTACTACTAGTACTACTACTGCTAGTACTACTAGTACTAGTACTAGTACTAGTACTACTACTGCTAGTACTACTAGTACTAGTACTAGTACTAGTACTAGTACTAGTACTAGTACGAGTACTACTACTACTACTACAACAACTACTTTCTTCCTTCCTTCCTTCCTTCCTTCCTTCCTTCCCTCGATTTCGTTTTTGTTTTGATCCTTATTTGTTTTTTGATCCTTATTTGAACTTATTTGTTTTTTGCAAGATCGGAGAAACACACTTACAAGTATTATGACACATCGTGGACGAACACTCGACCAGACAACATGCAAGCACTACGTGACCTGTTCCTGGAAATGTATGTGCCGGCCAGAGGCCCGGCAAAGCGCGCAAACTAGCTCTGGCCAAGCCTTTGTTGCCACAAAAAGGTGGATGGTATGGCCCACCAACTGCTACGTTTAGTGTTGCGGTACTACTGCTGCCGCTGTAATCCGCTGTATGCTGTGACAGCGCAACAAAGGTGGATGATAAGGCCCATCTACATTGCGAAATGTATCATGACCATGTGACGCTTTGCGGGGGGAGGCATTGCGGGGGGAGGCGCTGCGCCTTCCCCCCTGCACCCCCCCACCCGCTTTTATTTTTTAATCAGCTTCCCTTGCTACCTGCTCTCTTTCATTTTTTCATAGGTATCGTTTCTTTGGGTTTATCTTCTCTTTCTTAATCTTTATTTATATCCATCGAGACTTGAGCCTGTGTGCTTCTTTCTTGGTACGCATTGAGGCGCTGCGCCCTCCCCCCTGCACCCCCCCACCCGCTTTTATTTTTTAATCGACTTCCCTTGCTATCTACTCTCTTTCGTTTTTATTCATATGTATTCCCATTTGTTTTTTTTTTGATCCTCCCTTTCCGCAGTTTCTTGACGATTTTCACTACGATCGTCCTTATTTGTTTTTTTTTGATCCTTATTTGTTTTTTTTTGATCCTTATTTGTTTTTTTTTTGATCCCTCGATTTTGTTTTTTTTGATCCTTATTTGTTTTTTTTTTGATCCCTTAGCCCATGTCTTGCTCGACAGGCGAAGGTGATGCCGAAGTGTCCAAGACCGCCAGTGCCACTGCGGAAGACACGGAGACGGTGACGAAGAGCTTGGGATTTGTAGGGAGCATGGGCTGGGTGACCATGGATAAATGATGGTTGTAACACTAGTATCACTAATCAAAAATTGCGGTAAGATAAGATGTACTGTAACATTTTGTAAAGTGGTAAACACAATGATAATCCTCCAATTCTGGAGGCTTCATATCACCCATTTCTGGTGATATTGGGATGGTTTACTATTGGATTTACCACATGAACCATCATTACTACTTTATAATGAGGACATACCATCTCCATATAAAATAAAACTATAAAATGGTGCCAGTATGGGACTTCATGAGGATTGCTGGGAAACCAACCACATGTATATAATGGAAACATTCAATGAAACATGTAACTACATAACAATACATTTGGGTGTGTCTGAAAATGGTGTATAACCCCAGTTATGGTCATTTTGATATTGAAAAATTATGATAAACCACTGGACTTTTGGGTACCCAATTTTCAGACAAACCCAACTACAAAAAATGGGAATAGTATGGGATTGACTTACAAAAACCAAGGGGATTGACTATCAAACAATCCATCAAAGATGAGGCTGACCGCAACCACTAAGTTATGAATGGCTCATTAAGGGCTTACCCAGGACCAACTATGATTATTGGCTTATCAACCTTATGAACTATCTAAGGTTCAGGGGTCTACCGTGGGTTGGGTTGAGTCCCCATGATACCGTTCTGTAATCAAACATGGCAATGGGAAATCCCCGAGAAGTGTTTTTTTTTAATGGGAAAATCATCTACAAATTGGTGATTTTCCAGCAAACCATGTTTGATGACCGGAGAATCTATAATCGTCAAAAATGGTGATATTGATCTTCAATCACCGGGATATAACTCCGTAAAGATGGTTGGTTAGGGCGGCAAACATGGGTAGGTCAGGAAAGTGGGGTACCATTTTGTGCCGACTTTTTGTTGCCCTTTATGGAGGTTCCCTCTACCGTCGTCGGGAGGTTCACAATTTTGACCAGTATTTCGCTGTGGGATTGGTGATGCAACTGCAACTGGTGTAATTCCCCATGGATAGAGAAGATGTCACAGTGGTGTTCTGTGGCACTTGAGTATCTTCTCACCACATCATTCCTATGGACCATTCATCGCCCATGGCTCGTTCATGAGCCGCAGCGATTTGTCTAAGGACCATGAAGGTTGGTTCTGAAGGTGTGGGCAAGTTGAAGAAGTTTTTCGAGGTGCCATAGTACACCAAATCCAATGTTTGATCATTTCCCTATCAAAGTTGCCATTTTGGAGTATTCCCCATTTTTAGACACACCAAAATCCTTTGGTCCACTTCTTGCGAACGTCATGATCATCCACTATTCCAGCTCTACGATGCTCTACGTAGCTGTATCTTGGACGTTCATAGGTTGCCTTTGCCCCCACAGTTTCAACACTTGTCAGAAATCCGTTGTGCATACCTTGGTACTCTAAATGCATCCTTTGATGCGCCAAAAAGTGTTGTTTTGCCAATAGGTTTCATGTGAAATGGCCGACAGGCCTCAGCCACTGCCCAGTCTTGGGTTGCATCAAAGGCTTGCATTTCAGCTCGCAAGGCGCAGATGGATCAGTTTGCACCCCTTACACTCCAAAAAAGGTCCATGAAATGGTTGAATGATGCCCTTGGAATCCATGAATTTCCAAAATATCTTGGAATACATGATGTTGAATATATATATATATAATTATATATATAATTATATATATATATATAATATATTTCTTAAGATGTTCAAAGCATGAAAACTGCACAACTGCATCCTATGTTTGGAGCCAGCGGCGAGGCACGAAGCTTGTTGGATTCGACTGCCATGCAGCTGCATGGAATTCCCTTCGCACTGGCTGTCTACAACAAGGCACGTCGCAGGGGGTGGCAAAACAAAAAGGTTTGATAAGGTTTCGCCCATTAATTATGATATACTTACGTATATACATAATATATATATATATATTAAATTAATATAAATATATATGTATGTATATAATTATATATAATGTGTTTTTCTTTGTAGAATAACCATAAGTAGTTTTGCAGGTTAACCAGCCTCTAAGGCCCAGTATATGACATGTGTCAAATTACCACTAAGGCTAAGGATATGATTTTTTTTGCTGGATCGATCAAGAATTTCTTCATGGATAAACTACCATTCATGTCATTCATGGACACACATATCATGACATGAAATCAACCCATTAGATATCGTAAAATGATGACTTTTCCTATTAGATAGCCCTTTTTTCCCATTTTGCTGTGATATTCTATGAATCCCTTACCTCCCATTCCTTATCATTATCCGACCAATTTTTCCCGATGGTTAGTATCCCAGAATTGGTTTAAGGGAAAATCTGCAGAAGACACCCACGTTCAGAGGGTTTCTTAAACCGTGACTATCTGCTGATTGGTTCCGTTGAACCAATCCGATGGAGAATCCCATCAAATCCCCATCCCCATGTGCTGGTGATTTTTCTGGTTCTATATCCCAGTTGATGGTTTCTACCATTGAATCCTCATAAATCACAAGTTGTTGGTTAAGATCCCAAGAAAACTATGCAAAAATCCCATGAAATTCCATAAAACACCCCACCAAATCCCCCTAAATTGGCTGGTTCCAGGCCCATCCTCCGCTTGGTTTCAGGCCCACGCCGTAGCCTTCGAGAAGGCCAAGGGCAAGGCTGCTGAGATGGCCCTCAACACTGCCCAGGGGGTGCCGCTGGGCGGGTCAGGTTTCTCTTGTTTTTTCCCAGGGTTTCATATTGTTTTGGTAGAGTAATTAGGTTAATTATGAAAATGAATTAGAGGAATTAAGTCATTAAGTTAGTTACAGTATTAATAACTACTAAGTATTCTGAACATGATGATATCAATTTATACTAAGTTAAGTAATTTAGCGATATGTCTACAGCATTAATAGGGAATCTCGAGAGCCTTTGGCTCACCCCATTTGTTGGGAATTTAGATAGCCCTAGCTCCGAACCGCTTCCTCCAAACCACTGGGAGAGCGTAATCAAAAAAAATGTGACTGGGAGAGCGCTAGGAGGTTCAATAAACAATGACTTGTTGATGATTTGTTGTTCTTTTTGATTATTGTTTTTCGGATGCAACGTAAACCATGGGTTTTGGTGGCAAACATGTGTGTCTAGGATATTTGCGCATACTTGCACAATTTTCACACATGTGGATGGTACATGATTGTACATGCCAAGTTGTTCGAAATGCATCGTTTGTTGGTGACCACAGATTTTTTTTTGATGATCCCAAGGGACTTTTAGCATCAGCTCGCCAGGCAGCAAAGAGACAGGTGGAGAGAGAGCTGATAGCCCAGATCCAAAGCTATGCCAAGGAGTCAGATTGCATTGCGATTGATGATGACTATATATGACTATGACTGATGTGTTTGACGGTTTGACGGAGACTCCGTTTTTTTTTATTTATGGAATACGATTTTAACATATTTTAACAGGAATCATGTGCTAAACCGAATAATAATAAACCAAACCCCAAATCACCATCTTTATATTATAAACTATCCCCAAATGGTAGATTTATGGCATAATTTATGGCATTGGGTTTCCCACATCATAGATTTAGAAAGGTTTCATCCGATCCAAAGGACATGCCAGTGTTTGAATGAACGCATTCAGCAGGTCCTGTACCTCTGAAAGTTACACTCACCGCTCAACGTGTAAAAGGAATGTAGGTTTCGATATCCTTGATTTAAAGAGATTCCCAAATCAAAAGGTATTCCACGAACTTAAGCTTGTTTCTTTTTTGACACCAGTTTTCGGTTTGAAACAACCCATGTTTTGGGTTTGTTTTTGAGGTCAAAAAAGCAATCGCAGGAGCATTCAGCGGAGCTGAAGGACTTGGCCATGGAGGATGCTGTTAAAAGCACCTTGGGTCAAAAGAAACAGCTGGAGGCCATAGCAACCGCGGGATGTGAGCCATGGTCATCGGCCAGTGGCCAGGAATGGAGTTGACTTGAGGTTGACTCTCAAATGCTGTTCTGATGGAGCCGAAGGGTTCTTGCGAAATCAGGGAGTGCTTTGCGGTTTCGGCTTGATGTCAAGTTGGCAACAGCTACGTGTTGAAAGCCTGAAACACAATCATATTTGTTTTTTTGGGTCCATTGATTACTGACTGGAGAAAATACGTCCAGGGATATTTGCCAACAAGAAGTGGGAATGGACACTTGAGGGAACACCAAACGCCAATGAATCTGAAGTGTTATCGTGCAATTTTAAAGCTTCTTGGATTGCCTGCTGAAGAGTATAGATGTATGTGCCTATACTATGTATATATACACACACACGCATGTTTGCATGCTGTAGACTATATCGGGTATACTATATATAATATTATATAATTATCTATATATATATACAATTTGTTTATATTTGCGTGCTGTAGATGGTATCATGTAAATTTACAATATGTTGATATTGTCATGCCATATGTTAACATATATATATGTGTGTACTTACATGATATTGTCTTATGGTACATGCGATTGCATACATATATACGTATCTACATGCATACATGCATACATGTATACATATATACATACATATATATATATACATACATGTATATATATAATCATATATGTATATATATATATATATATATAATCATATGTATATATATGTATATATATATAATCATATGTATATATATATATAATCATATGTGTATATATGTATATATATGTATGTGTATATATGTATGTATATATATGTATATATATATATATGTATATAATATATATATATAATATATATATATATATAATATATATATAATATATATAATATTTATATATACATATACATATGTATATATATATATATACATATATATATATATATTATGTGATATATACAGATGGACCAGGCTGCTGCGATGGCTGAAGCATTTCAGCTGGCCAGCGAGAAGGCGGGATAGCATGATTTTTTCGGGTCATGGGGATTCAGCACCAAAGGTGAGCCATGGTGAGCCCCCCAAACAATAGGATGACTATTAAGCCCTGACTAGTGATCCTTGCTGGTTACTAAGCCCTTCATAAGCCCGCTCTCTGCGGGGGGTCGCAAAATAGAGGGAGGGATCCTGATGGAAACTCCGATTGAACTACTTCAGAAGTCATAGAAGTAGTGTTCGTTTCCAAAACATATGTTTTGATCGTGAAAATTTAGGGGATCAAAATTGGGAGCCTCAGCCTGATGACCTACTTGACAATTTTAAAAGATGATTCGGGGTGGCTCCACCATTAAAAAAATGGTTGAAACCTGGAAGGGGCGCTGGCCATCAAGTGGGTTGTGCTGTGCAGGTTCACAAGCAAGCGCCCTTGAAAGCCACTGCGGAGGCCAAAGAGGAGGCCGATGAAGCAGATGTCCCAAACTGGCTCAACTATTCTCCAAGAACCCTTCATTTTAGCACGGAATCTAATGAGCAGCTTTGGAATTCAGCAAGCATATACAATGTACAATCATATACAATCGCGGTTTTGGGTTCACATTGATTTGGAAGAAACAGGTGGGCAAGAACCCATGGTTTTGATGGATTGTTGCAAGTTCTGCACCATGTGAGATGGTCGTTCATCAGTTCCATTGGAAAGCTACTGCTCAGAAGGTGCCCTTGACAACTTGGCAACCACTTTCGACAAAAAGCTAACAATCTGCCAGGCAATTAAGGCTGCCAAAGAGGAGGCAGGGCAGTGCCGATGTTGGGATGGCAGCCTTGGCCATTTTCGCCGCAGGCGACACGCTTGGCCACATTGGAGGCCAGGAAGGATGCCAGCAAGTCGCTGGAAAAGAAAGTGCTTCAGAAGGCCATGGAGGATGCCAAGGTGCGCGGATGCTGATGCTGAGCTGGTTTTTTTGTTGGCAGATTTGTTTCACCAGGGGTCTGTTTTTTTCTGGAAAAACAGATTGAATGCCTGGTACATAAATTTATGAGTTCATTTCGGGATGATTTGGGACCTCAATCAACTTGAGAACCACAGATTCCATGATATGGACGTGTCATGTCTTGAAGTGGCACCATGTTCCAAAAAAATCCAAAACAAATCCACAGATGTTTAAATCATCACTCAACCTTTTCATACCTTTTCATCATGAAATCCTATAATTTCCCAGCATTTTTGGTGAACAAAGCATCGCATCCACCTTCTCCAAGGCCAAAGCTGAGCTGAGCGCAGAGGCCAAGGCCCAAGCCCTTGCCAAGGCCGAAGCTGAGAAAATCGCCAAGGCAGAGATTTGGGCACGACTTGGTGAGGAATGGTGCACAAAAATGCTCCAACTTGGCGAAAGTTGGATGAAAGTTCAGTCCCAACATGTCCCAACTTTTGGGCAGTTGATGCTTGATGATGCTTGATGATGCTTGATTTATTTTGATGTTTGTTTTTGTGCTTTTGATGTCGAACTATCTTGATGTGATATGCTGAGATTTGAGAATGTCGTGGTCGGGTCCTATGGTTCTCATGTGAGTTGACATGAAATCCCCGTGCCGCGGCACCTTCGCCCTTGCCGAAATCACCAAGCTGTGGCGAGACAGCCGACTGACAGACTGACCTCAAGTTATGGCAGTGGTACGAAAATTCACGATTGTGCAAGAATAGACATGAAAAAAATATTAATTGCCGATGATCTGTAAAGATTTGATCACACTCAGATTGCTGTACTTTGGTTCAATTTGATGTTCAAAACAATGACGAAAACACATGAAAACACTACAGAGAATGATTCCCCGCGCATATTCCAATTCTGACCCCAGGCGGATGACTCTAGGCGTTTTGTGTGCCAGCTTGTGTTTCCTGTTTTGGGTGGGGGTGTAAAAATCGCCATGGATGTTTCAATGGGGGCCGGTGCAGTGGCGCTCGCACTGACGATCCTGCACTTGCAGAAATGGGGTCCAGACATCATAGAAATGTCTCAGTGGCTCTTCAGACGAGTACAGGTGGAGAAAGATGAGAAGGACGATGGGAACAAGATATGAACAATGGCAAGTCGAAAAGTCCATAAAAGTCCCAGCTTTGGGGAAATCCGGGAAAATCTTTGGTAGTCATGTATAAGAAATGGATGATTTTCCATTGGCACGTTAAAGCATTGGGATGGATACCCATCCGATATCATCCGATGAAGTTGTGAATTTGGTTGTGGTTGTGGTTGTGGTTGTGGTTGTTGTTGTTGTTGTTGTTGTTGTTGCTGCCTTTTATAGGATGAGTCGCCTCATTCGACATTCAATAATGATAGATATACTGTTTCAAACCGGCCCCTCGAACTTTTCCCCAAAGGGCATTTTTTTGGACTGAATCCGATGAAATCCAATCATTTAGCAGGATAAAATTGGTGACTTTTTGGGCCAATCTCACCATTAATGATGGATAATCTATAGAATGGAGGCCGCGAACGCACAAAGATAAACGCATACACACATGTACACATGTCATATAAACAATAATGCTAATTCAGACTCATCATTTGGTCGACATTTGGTTTATGTTGTTCACGAGACATGTCCCAGCATGTGTCGTTCCACTTCTTTCAGAACTAGCCATGTGCCAGAAGGCACCAGCATTATTCCTTTGCAGGACAGCCGAAACGAACTTCGGATCGAGGAAGAACTGTGGAATCTTCGTCAACGTGGATACCACTTCGCTTGCCGGTTCCTGGTGCATTTGGCCTTCATCTCATTGCTTATGTGCATTCAGGAAGCGATCTTGAAGCCGGAGCCTGTTTACTTTGTCAGGCCAGTCCCACGATTTTGGGGACTAGCAGAGCATATATGTTGCATTTTACTTCGGAAAGGAAGCCGGAAGACTAACAACAAAGCCTCTTTCTTGGAACATTCATAGATTTGTTCTCCTACTTCCTCTGTTTCTCCATGGGTTTTTTCCTTTTGTTTTCACTTGCTGTATGTTCTTCTCCTTTTTCTTTCATGATTTTTGTGAAAGGTGGTTCCTTTTGGTGATCCGCAACGAAGCCAAAACAAAACCGGAAACGAAATCAAAATTCTGAAGACTGCCTAGGGCCTAGACCAGACCACGACCTTTTCCTTCCTTTCCTTTTCCTTTCCTCTTCTTTCTCTGTTCCTTTCCTTTTCCTCCCGTATTCCTTTTTCATGTCAACAATGTTTCTTTTTCCTCTCTTTCCTTTCCTCTCTCCCTTTCATTTCTTCCGTTCTTCTTTCTTTCCTCTTCTTTTCCTCTTCCTTTTCTCTTCTTTTCCTCTTCCTTACCTTTCCTCTCCTATTCGTTTTCCATGTTTCCCTTTCCTCTCTTTCTTTCATTTTCCTCTCTTATTCGTCTTCCATGTTTCGCTATCCTCTGTTTCCTTTTCCTGTCCTTGCACAAGAGCGGAAGGTGCACAAACTGCTCGAGCCAGTCTGAGTGCACCCTGTTGTCAAGGTCCAATTTGTTTAATGAAGGGTTTTTACGCTTCACCCCCACCTCTGGTACAGGTCAGACCCTAGCACTCTTGGATAGTCTGTGGCATGTTGAAGCCTTGTCTTAATCTGTGTCATTGGGATTTTCATGAAATTTGGTCAGATTTTGGTTACTCTGGGCCCCTGGGCGGAGCCAGCTGCAGGGTGGGCTTTATCATGAGTACTTACCTGCAGCACTTCGCAGTTGCCGCTGGAATGGTGGAGCTGAATACGACACGATGCCTGACATGGATTCACGATGATTTACACTTTGGTTTGTGGCTAGTTCATGCTAATTTAATATAGAGAAACTATGAGAAAATGATGATTAACCATTATTAATCTGTGATTTCCATGGGATGCCCAACTTTCAGACCCAAATCATTGACCCATTGTTTGGATGATCATTAAATAACTCATGGCCGAAATGTTGATACCAAGTGCCCCATGATCGAGCCAAAACCACATGTTCAAGATGTATCAAAATCAAGATGTAGTATCCTAAAGGCCCAGCTTCTTGAGTCAGTGTGCATGTTCGCTTGGTAGATGTTATAATTGTTATAGAGTCAGTGTCAGTGTCCTATGCTTGAAGATTCTGCTTCTTTGTTTCATTCGTGTATGAATCTCTGGGCGATCTGGATGCGCGAATCCAAAAGCCAGGGAGCCACCTCTGTTTTAAAAAGGTGTTTGATTTAACAAAGTTTCGATTGTTTGTTTTGCCCAATGACAGACGCTCATGGCTGAGGAGTGAAGATCCTGATGTGGTTCCTACATTTCTTGCTGTTCTTCTTCATTGTGGCTAACAGGTACCTTCAAGGAATTGACTTGGGGTCAATGCAGGGCTTCCAGGTGGCCGTTCGATTCTCCTTCATCTTCCTCTTCGTCTCTCAGCACTAAAACAAGGGCTTCAGGGTGATGCCAAAATATGCCAAAGACATGAGGATTCAATATATTGAGGTTTCCAAACCATTGGGTACCCCATGGTACCCCAAATCATCCAGTCATTAGGCAATTTTAGACATTTTACTATATGCAAACCGATGGTGACTTGGGGATCCCCCATTTTTTTAAAGATTAAATTCTCCAGGACATGTTTGGTAAGATAAGGAGTAGTTATAGATCCACACAATCCAAGATTCCACAGCCGGAGTCATCCATGGTGGGGGATATTGCGGGGAATTTAGCCCCAACATACGGATGTTCTAATGGGGAAAATGAATGAAGATGATGTCGCACCATGGAATGCAATGGGGTAATAGCATGCAATCGCCCTATTTCTCGACCCTATGTCACATATTGCTCAAGAAATATATGGAAGTTTCCTAAATTGGAGATCCCCAAGTCACCATGGGTTTTAATTTTAATACTACAATGGTCATCAATGGTCTAATTTGGATGATTTTGAGGCCCCGGGTAGCCCCATTAAGAAGGATGGACTGGATACCTCCATAGATTGAACATAGGGGTCCTGGTGCTGATAACTGCTGTGAATCCCCTACTCTTTCAGCCGTTGCTTCACAGATTTCCCTGTTGGGTCCCCTGAGGTTTGCAAAAAGATCACCATCCCCTTCCAGTTCGTCTACACTGCGCTGGACATATGGAACTTCCTTCGCATGTCGACGAGTAGCACCGCACTGGGGCCTGTCCTCTTTGCACAGCTCTTCAGTTTGGGCGTCTCGGCCTAGATCCACTGGTGGCCCACACCGTTTGACCAAGAAACCTTGCAGGTGTTTGACCAACAATCAACGTGGACATACGTGGACATTATTGAAATTAAAGCCATTCAGAATTGGAGATTTGGCCAATGGTTGGTGTTCCGGAAAATTGCGGGATCGTCTAGTTCAGGAGTAGGGAAACCAATCAAATTGCTTGAAATACTGTGTCAATCTGTGTCACTGAAAGTTTTCTAGACACATCCTCATCACTGCGTCAAGATTTTGCACTCCGTTTGGATCACGCGGCAGTTTTGGATAACCCTTTTGACGGTATACTGGTTGGTGGTTTGGAACATTTTTTTATTTTTCCATATATTAAGAATAATAATCATCCCAACTGACTGCTCGTAATATTTTTCAGAGGGGTTGAAACCACCAACCAGCTTTTGACGGTATACCTTCGTTTGCCCCACCAGGTATGACCATTGCAACCTCCGTGATTGTGGAGTGGTGGGTCAGATCTCGCATCCAGGCGGCTTCAAAAATGGAATCTGGGTGTTGCCGCTTCCTTTCAAGCGAAGTTGAACTTGGATTGGTACATTCATAAGGAAGCCACCATTTCTACTGATTATATATACGTATATATATATATCATGTATTATATATTTTTATTATATATTATATATTATTTATTATATATTATATATTATATATTATATATTTGTTTTTATATATTATATATTATATGTTATATGTTTTATATTATAACATATTATATATATATTATTTTTTTTTATAATATATATATATATATATTATATGTTTAATAATGTATATATATATATATTATATTATTCTTTATTATTATATATTTTATTATATATATATTATATTTTTTTAAGAATATATATTATATATTACATTATAATGCACACTTATAACTTTTAGAATCTTATAGATCAATTTATATTGCTGTATAGTTTTGTCCCCTTTTGGGCTCGCCGGGCTGTGCCCCCGCAGGCTGTGTTTGACACCGCGGATGCTGAGTCCCTGGTCTCGAGTTTCCGGCGGATGCTCCGCGGTGTTTGCGATGGTGAGGTCCTGTTGGACAACAAGCTGGGACTCCTGGCAGCATGGACATCCCAAAACTTGTAGTAATATGGGTATGGATCAATACCTATTAGTACCATTTTTAGGGGGATGAACATCCATAAATCCCAGCTATTTTGATGTGAACTACAGGGGTACAAGGGTTTGACCCACATCCATATGGACATCTAAACTGGGGGTTTACCATAGGAAAATGGAGGTTTTAATCAAAAGTCTGGATGAAGGGTTTTCTACCTTCTCAATGGTATGTGCCTGTCTCAACCCTCCTCCCTGTATCAAAGGTGCTTTCTTTTTCCCCTCCTCAAAGGTCCTGGTTTCCCAACGGTATGCCTGGAAAACTTTCCCATGTTCGAAGGATTTCTCAAGGCCAAGTGTTTTCCCACAGTGAAGGTTCGCGCTCAAGGCTGCCAAAAAAATAAAAATTAAAATAAAAATCCCGGAGACAAACCCATACCCCGGGGAAGAACACTTGCGACCGAACATTGCAAATATGCATAAAACATGCTATGTGTTTTTCTCAATGGTATGTGCCCGTCTTATTTTTTTAAAAAAAAAACATATTTTTATTTTTTCTCCCCGGAGGTCCCGGAGAGGAACCCTTGGAATTTCTTCCCCCGGAGGTCCCGTAGAGGAACCCTTGAAACCCTTTTGCTCGTTTTTTTCTCTTCGTCGTCTTTCGTCGTCCGTCGTGTTTCAATGGGGATCCTTGAGACAGACACTTGACCTGAGCAAGACCACAAACGAGAAAGTACGTTGGCGCAGACCTTCGATTTAATGGGAAAACCATGGGAAAACCCATAGGAAAATGGAGGTTTACCCTCTGGTAAACTAAGAGTTTGCTATTGAAACTGGCCCAGTCGAAATCGTTGATTTTCCCAGTGAAAATGGTGATTTTGCATAGTTATGATAGTTTACCAGAGGCACATAGGAAAACAATAGGAATAGTGGTACTACTAACCATAGTGGTGATACTAACCATAGTAACATCCAGAATCCAGAAAGAATAGAAACATAGTTTACCACTATTTGAGTAGATATTACTTCGAGGGCTATTCATAGGATCTTACTATGTACTATGTTTTTTGGATGTTACTATGATAGGTTTTGACTGGTTGGAATATTAATATTGAATGTTACTACGTACTATCTTTTTTCACGAATCATTGTAATATACCAGCCAAAAAGGATAGAAAACTAATTGCCACTATTTGAGTATATGTTACTGTACTTGGAGTTTTCATTTGAGTTGACATTCAGCTATTGTTTCAATTTCGGAAATTGTGTTTGTTGAATCTGGATGTTGGTTTTGGGCTCCTTACTTGCCACTTTGAATGTAATTGTGAATATCATGTTATTCTGATTTACATTGATTTCAAACTGAATCAACATTGTTGCTTAACAAAATTTAGATGAACTTGCTACTAACACTAAAGCCACTTTCAGCTAAATCCAAGTCAAATTGAAATTATCATTAAATCAAGTTGAACATTCAATCTAATTCAGTTATTAAACTAAATCCCAATTGAATTATACTTCAATTCTAACTCAAATGTCAATTAGATTTAAACTGATTTCAAATATGCATGTTTAGATGAAATGCAAGGTAAGTTTGTTTTTAGACCTTTGTTAAAGCCAAGTAGTCAAATCAATAAATGACATCTAAAATTACTCTTGAATTGGATTTAGATTCATGCTACATCAAGTCTAATTTGTTTTAAGTATCATTTAGCTCAATACAACATCACATATAAATAGATTCAAATTAAATCTGAATAAACCTTTAGATTAAACTGAATATAGATTGATTATGATTTAATCCTAAAGTAAATGTGAACCAATTGCGAACCAATTCTAACTTGATTTCAAATTAAATTAATGCTGAATTTAGATTAATTTGGCACTACGGTCAAATTAAGTTCACATTTGGCACCAATCAGAAAAGTCAAAATGAACCATACGTATATATTGGAGAATCAAGGAAAACACCTCCCAGACCCCAAAAAAGGAAACTCCCAAAATGGATAAAAGTATCTTCTTATTTCAAGTATCTTTTTGCAGGTTGCTATATAGACAATGTTTGTACGCACCAGCTATTTTGGTGTGAACATAATACCAATCCAATCTGTTTGGGCCAAGCGTGGGCAAAATCTATCCAGAGATTTATCATACGTGTATCCAATTTTTTAAGATATCTTTTGTGGTAAAAAGGACATCTTGTATATTTTTTGTTACCTGTTTGACGCTGGTCAAATTGTACATGTGATGCAGTTGAACATGGACATCTATTGCAGCTTTGTCCGCGATCTTTCTTTGGCCATGGCTTGAGGTAAAACGTGACAATCCGACCATCTGCAAAAGCATGATCCAACTAGTGAAATGGGTATGGGTCAATACCTATAGATACCATTTTTAGGGGGATAAACATCCATTTACCAGCTATTTTGATGTTCACCAGGGGTACAAGGTTTTGACACACTGCCACATCATCTCACATCTTAAGCCAAGGAATTCATGGTGAGAGCGAATGTGTGAAGCACTTGATGTTCACCACCATCAGCTTGACTGGCCGGAACTTTGCACATTTGTTGGTGGAGGAGGAACAGTAACTTGCCAAGATAGGCCAAACTTCTGGAAGTTTTTCAACATAGATAAAAGATATTTTTCAGTTTCAACATATGTTGATTTACTTCTTTATAGTCTGATTTACATTTGATCAACTTGTTCTTTGGATTTTGATGGTTTTCGACTGGTGGAGCCATGGCAGTTTTCTGAACGTCGTCCGCGTTATGTTATCCCCATGAATGCAATGTTGCCATTCCCCCATGATATTCCCATGATATTCGCATTACATTATATATATATATATATTATTCCCATATTCCCATATTTTCCATTGTATTTTTCCCATATTCCCATATTTTCCATCCTATTATTCCCATATATTCCGATGTTTTCCATTGTATTTCCAATGCTTTCCCATATGTTCCATTCGTTGCATTGTATTCACATTATTTTCATTTATTTTCCAATATTCTCTATTGTACAAGTATATCCATGATTTTCCCATATGTTCCATTGTATTCCCATTATTTTCCCATAAATATTGAGTGGTCAGGCAAGCCTTCATCGATTTCATCGAGACTTCCACGCAGCAAGCTGTCTCATCGACGAAGAATGAGACGTCTGGAGCTCCTCAATGCTTGAGAGTTTCGATTCGAGGATCTTCAGGCCGCGTGTGATGGAGCGGCTGGTCAAAGATGGTTAAGGGACTTAATGAGTCTTAATGGGACTTACTACAAAGTGATGGGTATTCACTGGTAGTAAATCCCTTAACCCTTCAAAGTGATGGATATTCAAGACTAAGTCATTGTTCTTGAACTGGTCTAATTCAGCAACTGACAATGCGCGTTACAAACTGCTGTTGACCGTGATGGGCTCCCTGATTTTCACCCCGTGGTGTACAGCTTGTATTCTAAGAACATACATGTCCTTTCGTAAAGACCTTGGGAGACTGGGAGAGATGGATTTACCATGATTCACCTTGGGGTTTGGTCCGATATCTTTAAAATCTGGTTAAACCATAAATAACTATCTGGTTTATTCCTTGGGGTTTAGTTTGATATTCCATTAAAATATAGCGACCTCACTGCGTTTGGACCCTGGAATATCAAACCAGCAACTTCCCAGCTGTCAGGCACAAGAGTTGGAGTGGACCTGTATCATGTACCAGTGGCAGGTGCGACTTCTCCCCCATCTCCCAACATCATGGAAGATATGTCATTTGTCATCTAATGTCAAGCCATAGGACTCTGAAATAACTATGAACATTAGATATTCATAATATTTCATAATGTATGTATATATATATATATATGTATACATATGTACGTATATACATATGTATGTATGCATATATATATATAATAGATATATATATATATATAATATATATATATACATACACACCGAACATCACCAAAGTTTCAATTTTGCCCTTCCAGGTCTCTTTGGTATCACAGCACCTCATCACCTCATTGCCCTCAAGGAGGACGTGGATTTCTATCGCCCGGTGCCGCCAGAGGCGCAGGACAACGCCGTGCCCACGGAGCTGCTGAGCTGCCGCGGCAACGAGCACACGTCGCCGGAGGCGCCGCTGCCACGGCTGCCGGATTTCACGGTGGCGTCGTCGGCCAGTAGTAGGAGCTCAGTCTCCAATCAACCTCCGGAAACTTGGATCCGAAATTGCATAGATTGATAGATTTGGATAGATAAAGAATGATAAAGAATGATGAATATTAGGATGTTTCATGATGTTTCTTAGTTCTGATTGATATATGTGTAATTCTCTATGATTTGTGATGTATGGATTATAAACATATATATATATAAGTATAGTGGCATTTGGCGAGTTCTGGAAAATTCTGAGATGATGTGGAATGAAACCAGGTTTCTGAGGTTCAGATGCGTCGGCGAGGTGGCGTGCTTTTTTAGATCCGTCACCCCCAATGTCCCTTTTGTTTGGAACCTGTTTTTAAAACTGCTTTCGGGGCTTTCCGAACTAAATCTATATGAACAACACAAGCAACATTGGCATGATCGGCAGGGATAAGGGCAACACATGATGCATTTTTTCTGATTTTTATGATCTCCCTGATCTCCCCGGCTGGTTTTTGTCGCAAGGGTTTTCTGCTGATCTATTTGAACCCTCAAATTCATCGCAATTGTTGATTCGGGCAAACTAATGGATGCCCTTTGGTAAAAAGACATGATCATGTAATTTGGCTATTTTCCATAGCTATGGTCCCATGGTATGATTACAAAAAGGTACCCAGAGTGGGGATCTATGCTTGGAACAGAGCCAAGGACTTGGAGGAAATGACGTTGCTGGTGGATGTTTCTACCGACCTGCATGATGTACAGGAAGCACACATGAGGTTCAGACGTCAGTCAGATGAGCCCGATGAACTGTCAGCCCTGCAATCTGGCATGCCGAGCATGCGAAAGTTTGTAGCTGGTGAATGTTTCAGATTTTTCTTTGCATCCCATGCATCCCCTAAGCAATTTGGACACTGGGATTTCGTTTTCTTGATAGTTAGAGTACGTTCATATGGTGGTTTCTTGAAATGGGAAATCCCCGAGATGTCACCAATTGGTTTCAATCGTGATTTCATGGCCATGGTCCAACCCCTTGGATGAAAAAAGGGTCCCATGGAGGGCGCTCCTGTGGATGATCCCCTCCCCTTTGCTAAGGTGAAGCCTACGGACTGGGAAAAGCTTCGCAGCCGCGTCTCCAGCTTTGCAGAGGAATATGTGCAGAATCCCAGCATTGCTCCGAAAGCCATCAAGAAACTGGCGTTACGAATGCTTGGCGAACGTCCCACCAAATTTGTCACTTGGAGATTCAAGATGACTTAGAGTGACGAGTTACTCATGGAAACATGTAGAGGTGCTTTTCTTGCATGTCTTTTTTTCCAGCTTCACAAAAAAACAATGATTCATTATAAATCTACCAGGTAGATACCATGTCTACCTTGAGCCCCAGGTGAGCGTTCAGGAGACCTTCATCAAAGCCTACCAGGGAGGGTCCGAAGCTCCTAAGGTTTGGCTTCACATGAAGGGCTTCAAAGCTCAAGAGCGCAACGTCCTGCAACCATCCTTGGATGGTGCCTTGGTAGGGCTTGCAGAATACAAGAAATATGCAAACATCACACTGACACGTATAGTATTATATATATATATATAGGTTAAAAATTGTTAAACTATAATAATCCAAGTATTGAAGATCTGGGAGATAAGATTTGACAAATCGGGTTTCAATGAGTTGAAGTTCGGAGTTAGAGCCTTCAACAAAGGCATGGAGGCCGTTTTCCAAGCTTTTTCCTGGCACATGACCCACTGGGTTTGTCTCAAACTTTGGGGATTGACCCAATGAACTACGATGAACGGGGAACTGATGAAAAGCTAGGCCAATTTTCCGGCAACACATTGGGATACCCTCTCTACAACCCCCATGTTCATCCATTTTCCACGTGATTTCATGTCGTGGCAACCATATATGCCCCATATTTTTGTTCATGACGAATCCACATTGTAATTGCCAATGAACATGGGGATTCCCAATGTTTTGAACAAAAATATGGGGCTTCTTTGTATCCACCCAGTGGCTTCCCAATGTTTTGAACAAAGCCACTGGGCAGCGAAGGTATCCAAGAAGGTCAACAGAAGCAGCGAAGAACTTTCAGGGCAGCTGGAGATAGAGCATCTGAGCCCGATGCTGGCCCCGTTTGAAGTCTTTTATGGGTCCCAATGAGAAATTCAGCTGGCCTTGTGTTTCCAGCTGTTTCACAAGGTTGGTAAAGGTGTATATTGATGTAGATAATTTGTATACAATGATATATTTATGATTATGTATAATTATATATATATATATTATGTGTTTATGTACCCATTAATATAATATACTATAATATATATATACATACACATGTATATACACATATACACGCACTTAGATTATGTATATGTATATGTGTTTACTATATGTATGGACCATTATCAGCGATGATTAGTGGTGTTGAAAAGTCACAAGCAGGTCCAAAGAATCACTACCAGAAGAAAGCAATTTCGTTGCCACCTACGCGCAAACGTGATCCATATACATAGATACCTTTCCAAGATAGCACACCACACTCATTCTGTTTCAAGGATAGTCTTGCTCCAAGTTTTTCCTTTCTCTGCAGGAGCGTCATCAGTGGGACTCATGCACCAGAGGTGCACGAACAAAGACTCCGCTGACAGTGTTTCAATTGTTTCAATGCGGGTTTGTCCATTAATTAATGAGGTACGCCCCATAATAACTGCCAACCATTGATAAGGATTAAATCCACCATATTTTACTGGCAGTGCCATAGATATGCCAAGATTAAACAATATAGATTTATACTGATAAGCCACTGGATTTTGGTATCCGTTGGTTTTTCCGCCAAACCCAGATAGATCTACCCTGCTTTGGTTTGCTCCAAAGCATGATGGACCTGTTTCGCCTTGTCCTGCCTTGTCAGTGGAATTGAACTGAGAGTTTTTTTGGCCTTTTGGGCTTTGACAAAAACCCCAATGACCGACGTGGCCTTGTAAAGCATGGAGCTAGGTAGGTCCATGGGGTCATGGGGCACCGGCCACCAGTTCTGTTGGAAAAAATGAGACGGAGGTGCTTTCCGGCTTCTGCAACGAGTTTATGTGAATGACACACTGTAAATTTGTGGACGTGCTACAGGATCCTAAAATGAGTTTCCTGAAACACCCTGAAACACAACTTTCTATATTCTGTACCTGTCGACTTCGTTTGGAATGGTACCCCATGGAAACGGAACATAACGGAACTGCCTGGCACAAGGAATGATTCTCGTTGGCAAAAGATATTTGCGGGATCAACTTAGGAAGAGGGGACTCCAGCCTCAGTGCGGCTGGTTCTGTTGGATGGTCTTCTACACTGATTAGATCCCTGACATGGTCTACATTAGATATCCTGCTGTCGGATGTCCTTCAATTTTACCTGGCCTGTTCTTGTCTTACTCTCTCTCTCTCTATCAATATATATATATAGATACTATACACTTGTAATTATACTCTAATAATCTAATCCAATCTCTATACTATACGTTACATATTAATACAATGTAATGTAATTTGATTTAATGTAATTATGTAACGTAATATCATATCATGTCATATCATATCACATCATATGATATTATATATATATCCATACACATATCGGCATGTCCATAAGTTGAGATTCCCCCAAAGAATCTGCCGGTTTTTCATGGCCGTTGCCACTTCGCCGCCAGGATCTTGCCGTGTCCTTGGCCCACAAAGCAGCACAAGCAGAAGCAGAGGAGGCCGCGAAGCTCAAGGCCACGAAAAGTGCCGAGCAGCAGGCAGTGGCTCGGCAGCACAAAAATGCGTTTTGTTTTTGCATGCCATATGGGCAAACATAATGTTAGCTCCTGATTAGTAGCTAGGTTCGCTATTGTGGCAATTTTTTCCAAATTATTCTGAAACTCATGTATTGTTTGGAGGGTTCGCTTTTGTGGCAAAACAAAATTGGGAGAGCACTTTTTTTTGAAAAAAAATGTAATTGCTGAGAGGCAATTTTTTTCTCAAAAACGCTGTAGCTCAGTCAAGTTTTTGCTCATCTCTCTATCTGAGCCTGTAAATGCATCTCTATCTGAGTAGGTTTGTTTGCTGGGCTCACTATTGCAGCAAGCTGTGCCAGAGCAGCCCCTGGAAGCCCAGAAGGGAAGCAAGCCTTTTCCAAAATTGCCAAATTCAAACTCCAAGCCTTTCCCAAAAGAACCAATCCCTTATTAAACCCTTATTAAAGAACAGCTTTTCCACAATTTTCCAAGGCCCTGGACCAGGAGAGGCTCCATTTCACTTTAGTAGGTTTGTTTGCTGGGTTCACTATTGCAGCAAGCTGTGCCAGAGCAGCCCCTGGAAGCCCAGAAGAGAAGCAAGCCTTTTCCAAAGGCAATTGCCAAATTCAAACTCCAAGCCTTTCCCAAAGGAGCCAATCCCTTATTAGACCCTTATTAAAGAACAGCTTTTCCACAATTTTCCAAGGCCCTGGGCCAGGAGAGGCTCCATTTCACTTTAGTAGGTTTGTTTGCTGGGTTCACTATTGCAGCAAGCTGTGCCAGAGCAGCCCCTGGAAGCCCAGAAGAGAAGCACGCCTTTTCCAAAGGCAATTGCCAAATTCAAACTCCAAGCCTTTCCCAAAGGAGCCAATCCCTTATTAAACCATTATTAAAGAACAGCTTTTCCACAATTTCCCAAGGCCCTGGACCAGGAGAGGCTCCATTTCACTTTAGTAGGTTTGTTTGCTGGGTTCACTATTGCAGCAAGCTGTGCCAGAGCAGCCCCTGGAAGCCCAGAAGGGAAGCAAGCCTTTTCCAAAAATTGCCAAATTCAAACTCCAAGCCTTTCCCAAAAGAACCAATCCCTTATTAAACCCTTATTAAAGAACAGCTTTTCCACAATTTTCCAAGGCCCTGGACCAGGAGAGGCTCCATTTCACTTTAGTAGGTTTGTTTGCTGGGTTCACTATTGCAGCAAGCTGTGCCAGAGCAGCCCCTGGAAGCCCAGAAGAGAAGCAAGCCTTTTCCAAAGGCAATTGCCAAATTCAAACTCCAAGCCTTTCCCAAAGGAGCCAATCCCTTATTAAACCCTTATTAAAGAACAGCTTTTCCACAATTTCCCAAGGCCCTGGACCAGGAGAGGTTCCATTTCACTTTAGTAGGTTTGTTTGCTGGGTTCACTATTGCAGCAAGCTGTGCCAGAGCAGCCCCTGGAAGCCCAGAAGAGAAGCAAGCCTTTTCCAAAGGCAATTGCCAAATTCAAACTCCAAGCCTTTCCCAAAGGAGCCAATCGCTTATTAAACCATTATTAAAGAACAGCTTTTCCGCAATTTCCCAAGGCCCTGGACCAGGAGAGGCTCCATTTCACTTTAGTAGGTTTGTTTGCTGGGTTCACTATTGCAGCAAGCTGTGCCAGAGCAGCCCCTGGAAGCCCAGAAGAGAAGCAAGCCTTTTCCAAAGGCAATTGCCAAATTCAAACTCCAAGCCTTTCCCAAAGGAGCCAATCCCTTATTAAACCCTTACTACAAGTACTACAAGTACTACAAATACTACAAGTACTACAAGTACTACAAATACTACAAGTACTGCAAGCACTACAAGTACTACAAGTACTACAAGTACTACAAGTACTACAAGTACTACAAGTACTACAAGTACTACAAGTACTACAAGTACTACAAGTACTACAAGTACTACAAGTACTACAAGTACTACAAGTACTACAAGTACTACAAGTACTACAAGTACTACAAGTACTACAAGTACTACAAGTACTACAAGTACTACAAGTACTACAAGTACTACAAGTACTACAAGTACTACAAGTACTACAAGTACTACAAGTACTACAAGTACTACAAGTACTACAAGTACTACAAGTACTACAAGTACTACAAGTACTACAAGTACTACAAGTACTACAAGTACTACAAGTACTACAAGTAAGTACTACAAGTACTACAAGTACTACTACAGTACTACAAGTACTACAAGTACTACAAGTACTACAAGTACTACAAGTACTACAAGTACTACAAATACCACAACTTCATCGGCAAAAAAAACAATAGCAATTAGATTTCAATTGTAGCCAATTGAAATCCTTACTTAATTGAGGATATGTTTTTCTTTTGGGAAGAAAAATTTTGACTTTCTACTTTAAAGAGAGTCCAGATATAGTTTAGGGGAGGGGGGGGGCCACACACTAATCAGGAACCAACATTACCAAGATTTGGACAAACCCTGGGGAAACCTCTTCGGAAAATGATCTACAAGTAGTGTTTTTTCCACACATATCTTAGTTTACAGGAGGGTATCATCTATAGATACAAAAGGATAATTAACACTTTAGAAATTTACTGATGGATCTTTTTTGGCGAAGTGTTTTTTTTTGGTAAGCATTCTTCGGTGATTTAGTGATGTTTTACCACCAAATATGGTGCGGTAATGGAATATTCTAGTGAGATATCTACCTAACAATGCGATGTATATATACATATATAATATGCACACACACACACACCCATCATAGACAACGAATCCAAACTGTTAACCTGAAGGTGGGATGTTTGGTTCAGAAATCCAAGTTTTGCGTGGCCATGGCCAGCGCGGCCAGCGCGTGCTAAGGTGGAAAAAACCAAAGCCATGGTCACTGCCGGAGCAGATTCCACCGAGGCGTTTTGGGGGTGGTTTCCCAATATGGGATGGAGCGTAAACATCCGTAAACCAAGAACAGCTACCATGAGTTGACCCTAGATAATACATATATATATATAGAATACAGATATTGATACCACATGTATCTAAATGTTGTTTGATGATGATGAATGATATTAGGATATATTAGATTGTATGATGCCAGGCATCAATACATACAAGTATCAAAGCATTATCATTGCCATTTTGGACTTCCCCATCTAGGTTTCAGGAAGTGTCCAAACAATGACAAGAGCAGAAGAACAAAACCAAAACAAACAGTAACATGTTAAAATCATGTTATGGTTCAATATATATATACATATGATACTATCATCATATAGCATTACTATCATCATGTTGTTGTGATTTGTTTCGGTGCACTATCATCACACTATGTGTGTAGTACTTTCTACATGATTTGCAGTCGCCTTCAACCAAAAGTGCATTCAGGTCATGAAGTTAGACCAGAGAAATGGAATCACAATATTTCGAAACATGGATTTTCTAGTGGCCAAGGATAGTGACACATGATTATATATATAATTATATAAACTATGATGTTAATACAAAATGATCAAATGTATTTCAATGTTGTTTAAATGTTTGTTTTTGTATGGGAAGCTACAAGTTGACGATCCCTCACTCAATGAAACTGCAGATGGGTCATGGGTCAATCTGTGAATGGGGACCCTGATTTTAGTGAAACCTTGTATCATTGGATTGGTTTAAGGGACATTTTTATAGGACCCCCCCCATATTAAATGGTAAAAAACATGGTGTCCTGTAGATTTTCCCTTAAACCAATCCAATGATTGTAGATATTATATATATATGGGTGACGTGTGAGTCAGGTCGGCTGAGTCAGACGGGCACAACAGCCGAGTCATACATGACGGTTATTTGACGCAGCCATTTGTCTTGCCTGACTCTAGGGTCTGACTCTCCGGGGTGGGGCTGACTCCCCCATATCTCGATATATATATATATGTATATATATATATACAAATATACATATCTCAATTGGAAGACTGGAGGTTTGCATCTTTCGATTTGGCTGGGTCACCCGGTCAGTGCCAGTCATGAGGCGCACCTTGGTGTCGACCCCAGTGGCATTCGATGCACTTTGAGGGCTGATGTGTTTGGCGTTGGACAGCAGGAACAGTATCAATTCGATTCATGTTTCAAGGAACATATTCATGATTCTTATTGGTGTTTGGTTGGTACTATATACATCAAATTTTCACAACTAAAATCTTATACATGATTTCGTGAAACAGTGATGTGTTTTCCAGGGATATGTGTGTGTTCCTAATGATGCTCCTGATGTAAAGATATAAACATCAATGTCTATTCAATACCCTCTGGTAATTTAACATAGCTATGGAAAATCACCATTTTTAATGGGAAAAACCACTATAAATGGCCATTTTCAATAGCTATGTTAAATTACCAGAGGGTAATCGAATGACAGGACAAGTGGGCAAGACGAGTTTTTCTCAAAAAGGTTGTTTGGGTTTGTTTGGAGTCGGCTTTGTTCCACTCATTGGCGTTGAGTATATATTGAGATTTGCGTGCCAGACTCGATTAATGCCCAGGTGCTTTCTGAGGATCAATGCAGCATTGATCTCAGAAAAAAAGTGCGAAGCGCCCTGCTACCTAAGACACCACCCATGACATCCCATAGATTGTTGGTTTCAACTATCCCATCCCGAACAATATATTTGGGATGGTGTGAGAAACAAGCAAGTGAATAGTCCCGGTTGTTTGAAACCACAACCAACCTGTGCTGAGAACCTGACTTCCGATGTTTGACATTGAGTGTTTCCAGTACCAATGAAAAGTGTACCTTGGCCCTCCTCCGTCAAATATTCTAGACTTGCAACATGAACTGGCCAAACCTTTTCGGAAAATCTGGAACGATAGGGCTGATGATAGGATAAGATAACTTAGGTGCATATCATAGAATTCAGCCGTTCATACAGAAAATTGGAACAGTTAATATATCTTATTTGTAATCCTTGCAGAACCATCTCGTTGCCTCATTCCTGTGCCCTGGCCGCCCTGCGCTTCTTGGTTTACAGCCCTGGTTTCAACGTAGTGTGCTGTCCCAGGCTGGTCTGGAAATGATGGAAATCTGGGAATCCCAGGGTTTCTGATGGATATATCAAGATATGGGTATGGATGAATACCTATGAAAATCCCAGCTATTTTGATGTGAACAAAAAAGGGGTACTATTGGTTTTGACACACTGCCATATGTTCCGTAGTTTGGGCTTGTGAAGCAACTTACACTTTTTTTGGGGGCCCGCCTTGTGGATGATGTGGATTCGCTTAGATCTGACATGGAGCAGATGATACGGATGTCAAACAAGCTCAAATGAAGTGACGAAATCATCTGGAGTGGTAATATGTCTCAATTTTGCCGGAAACTTGCTTTTGGCAAATCCAGATGGTGCTGTTTTAGTGCCGCTTTAAAAAAGTGGATTATCTCCAGGACATGTCATATGATTTGCCAGCATTTTTGCAGCGCATTGCCGCTTGTTTATCCCATTTCACAGCGAATCCACCAGGAAACGATCAGATTCTCCAGCCATCTCCAGCCATCTCCAGCCATCTCCAGCCGCCTCGATCCCTCGATCTCAGGGACAGCAGAGCCAATGGCTCTTCCAGCCATGGCTCGATGTATCTTCATAGCAGCAGTTGGATGGCCCAGGGATGGCCCGATCGGGGTGAAGCTTGGAGCAACAGCAGTGGGAAAACTTTGACCCCCAGATTTTTGGCAATTCTTGATTCTTTTATGGTGAAAATATGTGAAAATGATGAATGATGAAGCACTGAATGTTGAACTACCACATCTTCACACAAAGCCATATTGAATGTTCGACTTGAACATATGAGGGAAGTTTTCATTCAGGAAAGTGGTTGGAAGAAAAAGAAGCTGAAGACTTCTCAGGCAGCTGATCTGCTGGACATTCCCCTTGGAGGCGAAGGTAAAAATGACAGATCCCCTAAATGGGATGGTTATTTGGCTGCAGTGCAAGTTCTATTTGGATGACCGAATGATACCAAATGTACGGCTACATTGTGAACCTCATTGTTGAACTATCCGGATTTTCACATCTATTCACCCAACCATACTCCCAGTTTTCATCCACGTGGTCCAAGCATCTAAGGTCGTGTGTGCCAGCTGCTCCAAACTCGGCCATCACAAAGGATTTTTGGCCCGGAGTCTCAAGGGGGAAGCAGGTCAGGTGTCCTTGCCACTATCGGTCAGGTCATGAAAAAAGGGGGGTTCCCTTGTCATGGGGATACCCGGTACCCCCAGTTATCATCCATTTTAAATCATTATGATTATGATGGTTTCCTAAAATGGGAATACCCCCAAATCATCCATTTTAAACCATTATAATAGGATTTTCCACTATAATTCAACCATAATCAACCAATTTTGGGGTTCCCCCTGTTTCCAGGCCTTCCATGACGACCGTCCCCACCGAAACACCCACATCCAGCACACAGTGCCACTCGGCACCGCGGAAAGCCCACAAAAACCCAGCGCGGGAGACCAGTGCGGCCCAGTTGTTTCATCCAGGAAATTGAAGAAATCCAATGAAATCCCATGGATTTATGGGGTTTGATATGTTTGATGGCAATTTATATCAATTGATATCAATTCTTTAAGGCTGAATGATTTTGTTGGATGACTTGGATGATTTCACCTCCGAGATACTGTATACTAAAAGATACTAAAAGCATCTAAAAGCCATGTGAACAAAAAACGATCCCATTCGTGCCCATCCTGAAATCTCAACATTTCTGATCTGTATTCCTAGGAAGTTTGAAAAGAGGAAACTGAGGAAACTCAAGGATTTGGGTATGGGTACCCAAAAATGGATGCCATCCTGTCGTACACAAGAATGACCAAAATCTGTGGTCCCAGTCTCAAATTTGACTAGCCATTCAAGCATGTTTGTTCACACTGTAGCAATAACATGTCGTTCGCCACACTCACTGGTGCCTGTGGATTCTATTGCAACTGTATTGATTGGTATTATACAGCGTAGTCGTATTGAATTGCATTGCTTGGGTGCCTGCCAGAGATACAATTTTCCAGGGGATTTGATTCCATTTGAACATCGCCTGAACTTTCTCTTCAGGTTGTGCATCTTCTTTGCCATTCATGCCATTCATAGCTGTCTCATCATCCCCAGATGCTCCTAAATGCTCCTTGCATGGGACATTGGCCCACACCTTCACAATATTTCACAAGGATCCAAGTATGTATCCATAGGTATGACATGGTATGATGATGTATGATGTATATGATGTATGATGGGAGCCTAAATCAATCCCCATAATGTATGATACTTGGTGTAATTCGTAGACCATGAAATCATGATGGGTTGTCTTAGAATTAGGCTCCCTATATACATTCATTTACATCATGTGGCTCTCCCAATATACAATTGATGATATTTTAATGTATTTTATGGGTATATCATCCGTCATATACATTCATTGAGACTGCCAAGCCGGAGCTTCCCAGGCAGAGTTCCTCGGACGCTGAAAACGTCGAGGTTCACCTGCTGCGCAGTGGCAGCGCCTAGGCTGATTCCATGGGCTATCTACCCCCCATGGAAGTGGCAATTTTAATCGCGAAAATGACGGAACATGATGATCAATTAATATTAATTATATAACCATGCCAGTGAAAGGGGAGACCACAGTTTCAGACAAACTACAAATTTCATTAAATATCTAGAGATGTATATGAATATAATTAATGTACATATATAATATAGATGGCCATTATGGTTGAGTTTACTACTCATTTCCGTTGGCCCAACGCACGAAGTGACAACTCAGTTCGTGACATTCTTCTGCGACCGAGGTGACGACTCAGTTCGGCGACCCAAGCGCCGAACCAGTTCCCTATAGCGACACCAGAAATGGGGAGTTGATGGGATATGAAGCATCAGACATATAGAAATGTTGGTTGAAGCATGTTGAAAATCTCAACAGGGGCTGCTAATGCGTGTTACATCTCCGGTTTTCCAGATTCTAGAGATTGCCTTCAGCTAGGTGTTGCAGATACTTCTCCTCCCCAATCTGTGACAGTGCTGAAGAAATGTCACTATCCCCAACCAACATCAACCGACTTTCATCAGTTCATTTCAAGGAGGCACAGGGCGCTTCGCAAAAGTCCGCCGTTCGAAGGACGCCAGCTGGCGCCATGGGACTTCACATGGAACCCGGCAGGATGCTTCGTATTGTGTACAGCAACATACATCAACTTAAATGTGGTTATTGAGTACATCAACTTTCCCATACTTAACCCACTTAAGTATATATCAACCCACTTAAGTATATATCAACCCACTTAAGTATATATCATGTTCAATGCGGTACATGTCAAAACATCCGGAGCAGATGATTCTTGACAGGACAACTCAGGAGCATCGACAACGGCACAGGAGAACAGACATCAAATTTGGGTGGTAACTACTGGACACCCTTTGGATCCCTTTGGTAAACTAACATATAGCAAGTTTTGAAAATGGTCATTTATAGATATATTTATAATTTATAGTTGATTTGCCCATGAAATATACTGATGTTCCATAATAGTTATGTTAGTTATGTTAGTTCGTTTACTTAACAAAGGGTACCCAAGCCCAAGAAAAATCAGGGGCAAAGAACAAGGGAAAGTTGAGCTCTGAGAGCCAGTTTGGTGCCATGGAGTTGCACAGTGTTTTTGTTCGCATGTCCTCATACCCCAACTTACGGGTGGTACATGCTGCCCAAAAAGAGATCAGAGGATTAGAGGTAAAAGTAAAGAACATCAAGAGACAACGTAATCAACATAGCATGCCATGAATCTGCGACATCTGCCCAGTTTTCACCTGTCCCCGAGCCTGTTGTTGGGGCCACGGGCTTGGGTCGCCGGTGGAGGAATGCCAATGAGCCAGTTGCAGAGATCACAGACCTCTCATTGCAGCATTTGGAGAAAGGCAACAAGGCGCCTTGCACGAGTCTTTGCTGATGAAGCTGTTACGGTTGCTTTAGATGTTGATCAAAATGGTAAAGCTACGACAGTGAATTGGACGGAAGCGATTTGTGTGTTCATGTATGTTACATTTTATCAGTACTGAAATGAACTGGTGCTAATGGATGGGAATGGATGGGAATGGATGGGAATGGATGGGAATGGATGGGAATGGATGGGAATGGATGGGAATGGATGGGAATGGATGGGAATGGATGGGAATGGGGGAACGGGGGAATGGGATTATTGTGATTATTGTTAATAATTAGTTTTTGTAGTTGTAGATCATTCCCATCAATTCCTTCCTAAGCACCAGTAACTTGGCGTCAGGCCGATGGAATTGACATTGACATCGCCACCTGGACGAAGAGAAGGGACCAGCTGGGTTTACCAATCTTGGCAGCGTTGAGTCATATTATTTTGGCATAGCTCTAAAACAGAGAATTATATATAGATATACATGGATTGGTGGTGAACGGCCAAATCTATCGAAATATGGTATATATATATTAGTCTATATTATTATATATATATAACTATCTACAAGTGACTAAATTGGGCGGGTTGATTAATATTGATACCGCCCCATTTTCCACATAGCTATTTGTTGTCCATCGTTTGTCCATCAGATGTTCAGTGATGGGATGGGTTGAAGCCTGGGGAACATTTGGTCAAATGTCCTGAAATTGGGTACTTGAACATGTCTTTCATGCTGACTTGAGCAATTGGGCATATCCTATACTCAATTCATTTATTTTTTGCATAAGTGGTCACAACTCTTGATAGGTCCGCCATGGCTATTCACCTCTTCTGAAGGGCTGAATCTCACCGAGATACCCTTCATGAATCAAAGATTGCAATGGGAAATCCCCCGCAGATCGAGGTTTGAATGGGGAAATCATCTATCAATTGGGAACTTTCCCTTGCAATGTTTGATCGAAGAGTCGAAGAGTACAGTATTGAAATTCATCAAAGCACCCCATGAAAAGTTTTGCCAGTAGTGCAATAAAGGAACCTCACCAGTTGTAAATGGCGGTGCATCTCGTAACCCTCACCAGGACCAGGATTGAAATAGGTTCAATGGTTTGAACTGCCAGTTAAATTTGGTAGAGCCCCTTTAGAGTAATATATATATATTATGGTGTGTATTTAAAGACTTTTTTTTTGACGACAGTATACCATTTCCTCACCATCTACTGATCAACAAGGGCATCATCCAAGGTCAAGATCAATACCAACATGCTCCTCCCAAGCACCTATTCGGTGTCGCTGGTGACGCCCTTCGGTGGCATCGCCAGTGGTATATCGCCTGTGGGGATATTGCTGTGGATTAACACCTATATAAATACCTTATAAGTGGAGGTTTATTAGCTGGGAGAATCATCTATAAATCGAGTATTTTCCAGCTAGCTATGTTTTGATTACCAGAGGGAATGGTAAATAATATATGAGACTATGGGGATAATGCATAGCTTTAATCGTCAGTAGTGACTTCACCATCAGCAAGTGCGTTTCTGCAAACAAAAAGCTTCATGAACTTAGTACTGGCTGACAAGATGACAGGATTGATGTGTTGGCACGTGAAGAAAATCGTCAGAGGGCCAGAGGTGCTGAAACATTGTGTTTGTTCTTTCTGTCAAGTATATCAATATATATATATAAGTATATGTACGTATATATATATATAATCCCTTTCCCCTAATATTAAACACCCCCAGAAAACATGGTTTAGTAGGGGATTCATACATATTTCGATACATATTTGTGACCATTTATGGAGTATTTAATGTTATATAGGGGGATTATATATTTGCGGTTAGATACAGAATCATCGTTTAATTGGCATGGGGGGATGGCATGACTCATCAAGTGAACCATCAAGGCTTTGCACCACGTGATGCTTCGAGGTTAATCAGTGTCAGTTGATGTGCGAATGAGGTAAAGTATCACACTATATGTCAATGAATTGAGGATATTTTCTTCTTCCACGTTTGTTCATTGCCGGAGGGTGTGGATATATAATAGAATGATCAATCTGGTTGGTGGCTTCAACAGGTTGTCTTAAATATGTGTCAACCATAGATATCGATGCTTATGATCCAATACATGTATCAACATCATTCATGGCCGAGGACCACTCAGGCTCCGGCCAACGATCGTGGTGACTGCGTGTGCAAGCAGGGCAATTTCCTGCATTGGAACACCAAGGACGCAAAGTTTTTTTGCCAGGAAGTTCTCCCAGAAATCACCGAACTAAATGGAGGTTTTATTGGAAAAATACGGAAACAAATCATCATAAATCATCTATAAATGGTTGTTTTGTTTCCCTTGCCATGTGTGACAACCAGAGGATTTACGGTAAACTTTCTGTGAATATATGGGAATATTTTATATCAAGCTATAGGTTTTTGAATCAGTAATAGATAGTAATAGTGAAGGAATCAACAGGGATGGATGAAAACTCCGTGGATGTTCATCGATCCCAGAAAAACTCACCATTTTTCATGAGATAATGGGAACTTGATAAAGCCCATTAATCATGGGATAATGGGATATATCCCATGAATAATCAAAAATCATGGACTGGTTGGTGGTTTGGAACATGAAATGTTTATTGTTCCATTACTGGGAAGAATAATCCCATTTGATGCACTCCATCATTTTTCAGAGGGATAGGTCAACCACCAACCAGTGGAAAATCATGGAAAATCACTGGGGGTCCTGACAGACCTGGACGAGGAATGCATTCCTCAGAAGTCCTGGGGCTTCGAGTGTGGCTTCTTCCCACGACAGCAGCAGAATCGAGTTTGCCAGGAGCTGCACAGGTGGCCCCCAAAAAAAGTGATAACCGATAATAGCAACTACTGAGCTGATAAAGGATTTTGACGGGAGTTCATATTATTGATATATATATATATTTGCATAATTAATTATATATATATATGTATACAAATATATAATATACATGCAGTACATATAAGTTGATACGTAATCATTTCATGTTGTTTTCATTTGCGCAAGATTACATATACAAGACATCTACGGTATGCGTAATATGTTGCGTATGGGTGTGTCTGAAAATTCGTTGCCCCATTCCATCCATTGACCCCATTTTCAGAGACATCCAATAATCTGGTAAGTTATACATACTCGTATGCTATATAACTATCCCATAATATCTTTATTAAATCCCAGTGTTATATATATATATATAGCACTATCATAATCATAAATATTATATATATATATATATATCTATAACTATCTGAGAGTATTTCCATTAAATCCCATTGAATCCCAATAGATTTACGATCCCAAGGCACAAATTGCAATTGCCAGGATGGGCTCACCTGCAGGAGGCGAAGAGTTGGGAAAATCTTGGGATTTGGAACTCCCGTGTCAAATGTAGTGCGGCTGTTGATCAGGAACATTGGGCTTGCTTGAATCCCATATCTATATATATATATATGGGTATAACGTGTTCCACCGCCCCCACCCAGTGTTTTCAAGTATTCTATATGTGCACGTTTCAGAGATGTTGTGCACGTGTCAGAGATGTTGTGCACGTGTCAGAGATGTTGTGCACGTTTCAGAGATGTTGTGCACGTGTCAGAGATGTTGTGCACGTGTCAGAGATGTTGTGCACGTGTCAGAGATGTTGTGCACGTGTCAGAGATGTTGTGCAGCTTTCACAGAAGTTGTGCACGTTTCACAAGCCCCCTAATAACGTTCATGTTCGACTGTATACACACTGAGCGCATATATACATATATATAATATATATATATATATCACACACAAAACTTCAAGAGGGTGCAGCTTAATGAAGGCTTTTCTTGCTACCAGCACCTCATGAAAAGGCACAGGAAATATTATCCTTTTGAAGCTTAACATCAGTAATTTCAGATCCCAGTCATAGGTGGTTTGCTAGGCGTTGCGTCACACGGGCTGACACTGATCCATATCCATCCAAATTTGAATGTAGATTGCTATATCCAAAAGTTGGTTTTCCATGCTTTTCCATGGTTTTCCATAGTTTCCAGGAATGCGCCGGAATTTTGGGGATTTGCTGTTTTGGACATAAGCACATGTAGATGTGCATCTCCACTCATCTCTACATTTACAGACTCAGATGCAAAGAGGGCGTTAGACTCCACTATGTCTTTTTGAACACAAATGGGTTGAGGTTTTGTTTGTGGTTATTGTTGTGATTGCTGTGGTTACTATTGTCGCCGATTGCTTGCAGGCTGAATGCTACAGATTCCTATGAATCTTCCGGCAAGTACAAAGGCCAGAGAACATCCGGGATGGGAAGAGAGGCAAGTGGATCTTTTATGGGAGGTATGATGTCCACGGTATGATGGTAAACCCAAAACCACACCACTTTTGGGAGTGTGGTTTTTCCATGTTTTTCATATCCTTCAATTTAGCCAAGTTTGCCAAATGGGGGTATGGATGCCAAAATACCCGATACCACATTACACAGATTATCGGATCCACCATGTGTCTTACACCCTTCATAGCATATCATGATACGAGTAAAACCCATGATATTCCAGTTACATCCATTTATGCGGCTGCATCATATATGGTATAGTAAAAAATATACATATATTAGTATATTGGATTCACCACACATATTACAGTAATCGCATTTGAAAAATCTGTCACTCCCAAATCATTCATGTCATGACTCACCATTTTAGTAACTTGAAACAACAATGTTTTTGGGGATCCCCCATTCTTGGAAAAGCCCCATATTTAAATGCATGTGTGGTAAACTCGTTTGGTAAATACAGAACATGAATAGAAAGTAAAGATAAGAAAAACACTAAGTTTGCGACTACCCTTAGGATATTAAAACAATGTTATATAAATTACTAGTAAAATATATATAGTAAAATCCCATATGTCATTCGCTCTGCTGGCAGTCAGGATGGACAGCTACCTCTCCGGCCACCTGTGAGTACTGCAGCAAGGAGGATGACTGCACCACAGGGATGGAGAGGCACCTCTGGTGTCCTCAAAGATAGCTGGGAAATCCTCGTTAAACATACATAAAAAAAAGGGGACTCATATTATTGCATATTATTGCTAAAGTTTCTTGTATATTACTTATATTATATTTAGCATTTATTGCTAAAGTTGTCTTTTATTCAATGGACTGTTTTAGTGTGTTACTGATGTAAGGATATGCGCTATTATCTGGGGTGTGCTATGAAAGGGATAGAACTCCCCATGTTTTTATGTTTGGTGTTCATGAACAACACTGCGTTGTTTTGTTAGTGAAATGGAGTAGTGAGTCTTACCCAAGAAAAAAATATTGCCCAAAGAATGGACTTCATACTGAAACATGGCAATTCAATCAGCAACAATCAGTATATCCATGTTTCAGTTGAATTTAGATAATGACATTTGTATATCGCCAATCATTATCCATTCAATCATTCTGTATATAGCCAACACATGGCACATGACATTTGAATTCATGGGACCATGGGAACAGTTCCGCAAGGCATGTGGCTGACTGCGTCCGCAGCGGCGATTTGAAGCGCATGGAGGCGAAAGAAAAAACCGGGAAGCCAAATTTATATAGATTTATGTCATTTTGGGGTGGTTACTGTACTATAATTACAATATATATATATTATCCCCCGTTCATATTAAAAATCCCAATATGAATCCCGGAATGTATTGGGTTTGTTCATTAGCTGGTTGTTTGGTGGTATTTCATATGATTGGAGGATGGGATTATTGACTATCCAGTTTTAGTGGTACCCAATATTTAGCTACCAAGGTTTGAGTCCTTCGGTCTTCTTCAATCAAAGGATAGTCCATTAATGCATGGCCCGTTCAATACAGGGACTCTGCTGAAAGAGAAAAAATCTGCAAGTTTACAAGGATGCATCTTGCCTTCTTCGGCAGTGATGCTTCTGGAGATTTTTGAAGCTGTGTCAAACTATTCAATAAGAGAAATATACTGGAGACAGGAAACAACGACACTCCAATAATTTGACAAGTACATCTCACAGAAAATTGTTGCCTATAACATTTTATGAAGAATTGATAGCACATTAGGGTTGTTTCATCAACATATTTGGTATGGGCTTGGTATAACCCTGACATATACTGATGGCCCCCACACCTGCCTCCCAGGCCTTGGCCTTAAATCCCAGGGTTACAGCAGCATTTCCAGCGGGGCTCACCAGGAAGAACTGGAAGATGAGGATGCTGAGTTGGAACCCTGGGAGGACAGCGAAGTCTTCGAGGACTGGGATCTCTTTAAAAGGGCGCTGAATGGGATCAGAAGAAAGAGTGGAAGACAAGGTTATGCAAGTTTCATGATGTTTCCATTTATTGGTGATGTTTCCATCTATCATGGCCAATTTTTTGGGTTCAATGGAAATGTTCGAAGTAGATGGAGGCTTTAATGGACACATCATCTATAAATCTAGGATTTCCCATTGCCATGTTTGATTAGCACAGGGGAGCATGGACCATTTTCGGGGGTTTCTTTTCCAATAGAGGATTCTGCAGATTCCCAAGTCACCATGGTTGTTTCAAAACAAAGTCATGATCTAATGTTATCTATAGATGATATAGATAATTTAGATTGATTTAGGAGTAACTCAATGAATTTGGAAACCTCCGTATTAAAAAAGATATGTACATTCGATAGAAGGTTAAGGGTTCGTTTGTGCACGTCAGATGAAACACACTGTGTTTCACCACATCCATACAGTTGGTGAGAAAAAGACGGCACGAATCAAGATATCTTGAGGGTGAATCTTAAAGATCTGGTATTCGGGTAGGTCACCAAATGGGGGAATGGTCAAATCCCCAGCAATGTAGTAGTGGATGTGTTTTTGACTCTTTTGGATGTCGGAGTGTAAAGTTTCTAAAGCTTCACACAGCTGTGTGATGTGTGCAGGTGCTGATGTTGTCATTTGCTTCCGGGGCATTGCTACTTGTATATAATACAGTATCCTAATCTCTGATCAGTAGACCGCACCTTGTGGAGCAGGACACAAAATTCCCTGACATCATCATGACAATGATATTATCATCATATGAATCATATGATTATCATTTTCCGGATGTACATCGAGGTATGTCAAGGTAAATCTGCCAGTTTAGCTAGTTGGTACAGTAGCTGGTTGGAAGAGGAGTGGCATCTTCCGCCACAGGCTTGGGGGCACAAGGGCGCCAACCTCAATGATGGTGATGACAAGGACGATCGTTCGGGCTTTAAAAAAATCATCGACGGTATCACAAATCAAACTGGACGGCGAAGGTTTAAATGATCGTTAGATCATGTGGGTTTGTCTGGAAATAGGGTACCCCAAAAAAAACATGGTTGATCATAAGTTTCCCCATTAGAATCACATAGAATCACCATTTTTGGGGCACCCATCTTCAGACAACCCATTTTGCAACCCACATCAATAACTCTCAACAGGACTTGGACTCGTTCGGGCGGCAAGAACCCAAGATGTGCGTCACCGTGAAGGTTGGGTGCCTCTCAGTTGAGGAGTTGGTGGGGGAAGGAACCCTTAGCCATGGATAGCCCATTTATAGACGATGTGCCGATAAAAAGAATGGTGTTATTTCCATATGGTAAATCACCGGATTTCACCCACCGGGTTTTAAGCATGATGAACTTTGGTGGTTTCAGATGTTCATTTTCTATCATGGGACGGTGGCCAAATCGTCAGAAAACCAATTTGTGTATGGATGACTTCGCCTGCCTGGCACGCGTCATGGGCCATGGGCCAGTCAATATATTGGGCCTCACAATCAAGGAGCCATGTGTGGGGATCAAAGATGTATACAAAATCAAAGGGATGTGCTCTGGAAAAAGCACTAGAAAACTATTTGCATCTCAAAATTTCACCATGAAGATCATGAATCACAATGAATCATCATGAATTATGATCATCATGAAAATATCATCATGATTCAAGATCATGAATCATCATGAATCACACTTCAGAGCAATAGCCCGGAATCTGTTGCAGACGACTCTCCCTGCAGGTCACAGTGCCTGCCCTCACCATGCGGGATCAAAGCACTCGGGTGCTGGAGGCAAAGTTGAACACCACTTTGCAGGCACCGAAGGTCGAATGTTCTGGGAATGTTCTGGGAATCCATGGTGAATCTATGGTTGAGACATGTTGAGCGGAGAAGAATCGTGGTATAACATGGTAGAAAGGACATGAAAGGACAGATTATAACCAACAAGGAGAAGAAACATGAAGACCGGACAAGTATCCCAAGTTATGGCCGAATTGTTCAGTGAATTCGTATGATTTATTGTTCGATGGTTGATGTCCTTGTGTAAAAAAGATATAGCGTCGAACAAGAATCTGAGCGTCGATGCGAAGAATTCTGGCTGCCTCAACCAGAAAACACGTGCTTTTTGGACAGATAGTCATCCTGGAGTAGATAGAAAAATGGAAATGTCAACAAAAACTTCTATAATGGGAATATCTTTGAACATGCCATATTCATCCATATTCTACATATAATTCTTCATGATGATTAGATATGTAATGTGTATACAGTGTGTTGATGATCAAACCTTTATTCAACCTCTAGATACCCTTCGCTTCAGGTCATCGCCAACGCCACCCAAAAGGCCGAAGGGGGTGGAATTCAGACTCAAAAGTGATTATACTGATATATGATACCCGGCAGAATTCCTGTGATGTTTTAAAATCAGTTCTGATGAACAAATGGGAAATGTGCCATATGAACTACAGGAATTGGAAGGTGAAAACGATCAGTAAAGTGGGAGTTTTCCATTTTAGCAGATTGGAGTACAAGAGGTAGCAAACATAGATGTATCAAAAAAACAGTTTCTGCACGGGAACGAGGGAAAAAACATCTTTTGATGGAGGGTTGTCAGCGTCAAGTCTAGAGGTTGTACCTTGTTTCGCATCACAGAGTTTGAATGGTCAAACAGTCGGCTGTTTGAACATTGGAGTTCAGAGTAGCATTAGGCCACCTGAAACTCAGAAAAACGGATTACCCTCTGGTAATTTAACATAGCTATTGAAAGATCCACCATTTTTAATGGGAAAATCCACTATAAATGGCCATTTTCAATAGCTATGTCAAATTACCAGAGGGTAAGATCAGCTTTAGGAATTGATGGTGTTTTTTAGTTCCTTTTGGTCCAGGGACATCCATTAATGTGTCCAATGATGACATCTTCCCGAAAGGTGGTAGATGGGTTTGTCCAATTCTAGGTAAACCCGATATCATCCCAAATGCACATCTTGATCATCATATTTCATTATGTTTCCTATGAAATTGCCATTATTCAGGCTGATGCCAATGCCAGTGCCAGTGGCAAGTCTCAACGACAGGCTGTGGCTGAGGCGGGGCGGGGTTGAGGTCTGAGATGTCCATGTGGATGTGTTTGTTTCAATGTGTCTACCATCAAATAGCCATTGAAACAGGGAAAAAAACACGATGATGGACCAGCAGACCAGCAGGGGGCACTGTGGGGTACCCTGTTTTCAGACCAAGAGTCACACCGAGGGGAATTGAAGATCGAAGCTGTGGCATGACAGATGAGCTAACATAGTCATGGGAGGAAATGATTTTGTGAAACCCAACAGCACTGCAAAGGTTTGGCCTAGATCCTAAGATGCAGAAAGCACATATTGGTTGTTGGACTGAATTCATGTGGTTTGTTCAGAGAAGATATCCAGTACTTGGGGGTGCAGTTGGGGTTATGAATGAGTAGAACCATGGGATTCAAACCTGCATATATAAGTCAAAACATATAGCATTATATATATAATCCCTGTAGCTAGGGCTATATTTCTATTTGATTATAGTGGAACTGCACTCTCAGGGCCATCAAGTCCAGTTGAAAAATAGTCCATATCCTTACTTATCTATACTTATATTTACTTATCGGGCTTGTTATCATCGTTATACCGCAAGTTATACCTACGCTGCAGCCTGAACTGGCCATGGCAGGTTCAGGCCGAAGCGAATGCCACTTACAACGCCACAGCATATGCTGAGGCAAGCTACACGGCATGGTGCCCAGTGCCCAGTGACAGGCATCCCACCTGTGGATGGACTACATTCTGTACCAGTTGGCAGCTATTGGCAACTATGATGAAACACTGGTTATAATGACGGGACTATAATGGGATAAACCCTCTACCAACTGGTGCAGGATTTCGCAACCATCCACACTTACTGTGGTTTCTAACCCTGCCCACTTACGATTCCTGGGATGCACCATCAAAGGTGGGACACTGCTAAGGCATGAAATCTAGCATGCTTCCAAGCAGAGGATGTTAGCATGTGTATGAACCAAAGGCAAGCATGAATTGATCAATGATTTCAAGCACGGACCATGATGCATTTCTCATCTATGGATCTGGATGAATTATAATGACCTCACTGTGACCTCACTGGAAGGAAGGTTAGTTAGGGGATTCATCCTTAAATGGCCGTATTAGTGAATTAATTATTACAATTCACGATAGATGTAACATCGGAAAACAAAGAAGATCCTGGATAGCTACAGGATGTTTATGTCCTCTCAGTTTGCCACTGTTTCCAAATTGATTTGTTCTTACAAGAGGCAGACATGATTTCTGATGTCAGATCTCTGATACCCTCTGGCAAACCTATGGAACATCACCATTTTTAATGGCTAAATCAACTATAAATGGCAATGTTCAATAGCAAACTGTTAGTCATTACCAGAGGGTAAATTCATTAAATTACCAGTAAATCCCACTAAATCCCATTAAACCACCATTAACCACCATGAATTTCCTGATTCTTCATGTTTCCACCATCGGCTCCTATTAAAAGTTGTTCCTATCCAGCTCAGGCCTACGCTGAAGCCACCGACAAGGCGACCGCCACCTACAAGGCGACCTACGCTGGTTAGGGGGAAATCATAGGATCCGATGGGTAAATTATAGCGACCTCATTGCGACCGAGCCCTGGAATCATGGCTAGTATTGGAAATCATCCCCAAATGGCCTTACTTCAGGTTAGTGAAATATTGTAATTTACCCATCTGAGATTTGGATGTGTTATGGGTATGGATCAATACCTATTAATACATACCCAGCGAAATTTAGGGGGATTCTTTACATCCATAAAATTTAGCCAGCTATTTTGATGTGAACAAAAAAGGGGTACTATTGGTTTTGACACACTGCCGGAGTGTGTTTGAAAATGTGGACTAGGTATAGCCATGTATAGCCCCAAGTGATGGCAATTGCCATGGCAATTTTTTAATTTTTTAGCAGGCGGTTGCAACTGCTGAAGCCAAAGAGAAGGCAAAGGGCAGCACAGTGACATGGCTGGAATTAAAGTGGACCTGAAAACAAAAGGGTGCCGGTAGACACAAAGCTGGGAGGAAAAGGAACATGCCCAATGGGAGGAAGATGTTCCTCAAGAAGGAGTGTTTTTCTCACCACAAGTGCTGTTTACTACTGTAGATGTTTCGATTTGGTAATTTGAAACCTCCCCTCTAAATGAACTGCTGCGTCATGTCAAGACATCCTTCCATTGTGTGAAAAAGTGCAACTCTGGAACAACAGGCCCTGCCAGTTGCGGCTGTGACTCAAGGCATAAGGTCCAGGTCTGCGGATACGTTTGTGATATGTTGCTTCCATACGGATATTTCTCATCCAGGTAATATTTGCATCACAGGTTCCATTGTTTGTGCTTCTGCTATTGCTTAACTTCTATATCTTAACCCTGTCTTGCATCATGTTGCATAATTAATATGTTCGTACACCAGGATGCAAACACGACAACACCAATGACAATGATGATGATAGAATGATAACAACCGAAACATCACCATATAGAGTCACCGTATAATTATATATATATTGTTACATTATAGAGTTATGATATTATATACTGCATATATATATATAATTGATTATTTACACTGATGTACTGTATACAAAACTACATCTAAATACTGTACATCAGTGGTCACCGTCGTTTCGTCCAAGGAGGTGACTGCAGCAGCGCGCAGCAACGCCACAGGAGCAGCCACGAAGATTGCCAATGCCACCAGGACCGGCGAAGACCCGGGCCCGGGGTCCGCTTTAGCAGATAGGGTCAATATACCTGGGTTTGTTTAAGGCGATTTCTTATTTTCCCAATGGAAAATCCACCATTTGGGGAATCTACAGTGACTATGTTTTTATTTTTCGGGGACCCCTTAAGCAAATCCAAGTTTGTTTATGAAATAAGCCCAAATGGCCCCGGGTCTATATCCAAGTATATCCACGTATATCCAAGTGATTTGTGAAGAGGTTGTGTTTGGATGGGGAAAACAATAGTGAAACGGAGAAACAGCTACATATGACATATATATATATGTGTACACGTATTCATATATATATATATATATATTATATCTGCGTATAAATATATATATATACATACATACATCTGCCTATATATATATTGGGGAAGAGATACATAGCCTGAATGAGATGGTATTGTTTGAGATGATACGATAGGGCATGATATTTTTCAAAGTTGATGTGATGGAATCCCATGGTTCCAGGGCCTCCAGGGGTCATCCTTTTTGGACATCCAGAAACGGCACCAGTTGACCGGTTCAACGGGAAACACCAAGGAGCATGAAAGCCAAGGGAGAAGCAGGCAGAACTTTGTGCTAAATGAGTAAGTTGTGTCGATCCAAATTTTGATCAGCGTTTGCCAGGGGTTCTGGTGAAGCTGAAGCAAACTGGACATGGTATCTCGAAAGCAGAAGGGTGGACGGGTGATTGCTGACCTAACATCCCAAGCAAAGGCTACACCAGTCCTGTCATGAAATCGAGGCAAAGCCAGTGCAGAGGCTGAAGAACGGGCCACTGTGCATTTGGAAGACGTCGAGAGAGTCACCAAGATCCACGGCATGGTAGTGAGGGCGTAGTCAAGATTCCAATCATTCATACAATCAAACAAAATGATGGCTACTGTCAACTGAAGTCACTTGAATCACAAGAACATACGATCATATCATATACAATTACATCTGTATGGATACAGGTGCGTTAGTCCATTAATCTAGGTAAATTATATTGACCTCACTGTGACCTCAGCGGAATCATGGTGAGCAAGGAGAATTATCCCAATATAGCCTTACTTGAGGTTAGTGAATCATTAAATTTTGCTCAGATCATTCGTGGTTTATAAAACCATTCGAAGGAATCCCCAATGATGGTGGGATAACCATGGACCGTCGCCTAGGAATGCCACTGTGACTGTTGAGGGCCACGGGAGTCTCAAGAAGGTCTTCCAGGTGCGCCAGTCGTGAGGGGCGGAAAATGGTGGGGATTCACCTCTGTTTTTATAGGGAAATTATGGGGAAATTATGGCAAAATGATGGAAAGTACAGGGAAATGATGGAAATAAAAGGGACATGATGGAGTAGATTGCCATTTGATAGGAACATGAGGTGTTGAACCAGAGGATTGAATTGGCTAATGTGTCTATCTTTTTGACAAACCGACTTAAGTGGGATGATAATGGAAGATATGGACCATCAACAAATGACCTTAAAACAAGGTTGGCCCGAGTTACTATATTTATCTACAGATACATAGTAACCTGAGAAAAGATGGAAAAGTAAAACTATACTAAAATAGTGATACATTGTTTTTCTATAGTTTTGAGGAGTTACTATACTATTTGCATGATTGTGCATGTATTACATAAGTGGGATGATCTATGAGAAGATGGGATAGATAAGAGGGATGCTTTTATACAGTGGAAGCATTGTATGGGCGTGATCTGGAAGGAATGGTTTGTTTTCCTGTTGTCCATGTCCAAAAACACGGAGGCTACAGGCTCTTAGAGCCTGACTTGCAATCAGCACATCGCATCAAAAGGACTACCGAGAAACCATGCCCAACCCCAACTATACCCAACCCCAATCATCATCAACTGGTTGGTGGTTTGGAACATGATTTTTTTTTCCATTCAGTTGGGAATTTCATCATCCCAACTGACGAACTCATATTTTTCAGAGGGGTATGTCAACCACCAACCAGTCATGTTTGCTACTTCAATTTGTTACATAGCTATTGAAAATGGTCAGTTATAATTTATAATGGCCATTTACCCATGTACCCATTTATAATCATCATCAACCCTTACATTCTCAAAGAACTTACCCTGTTCACCTCCCCGTTGTAGGCCACCGCTACAGCGAAAGCCATCGTGGAGGCGAAAGCGTGTATCTCTGCGCGACAGGCCACGCGTGGATCAGAAAAAGGAGATGGGGTGTAAACGGATGGAGAACTATAGGGATAAGAACCGTAACAACCATTGGAAAAAGGTGCTTTAAGGTGTTTTTAATGGGGAAACCACTCATATGTAGTGGGAATATGGGTTTTATCTGAAACTGGCGAATTTATCCTCCACCTGGCCGTTTAAGTAGGAATAGTACTAATAAGTCACTGGATATTGGGTTACCGTATTTTCAGACAAACCCATAGTGCTGCAAAACTAGAAGTGGAGCATGTTATCATGATGTCTAAAGAACCAAACAGATGATTCACAGATTGTGATGATGATGTCTAGAGAACTTGCAGAGAATCCTAGGTGTCATGACATGTCATGACATCTGAGTCCATCAGATTCCATAGCTCAAGCTGGATACCTGACATAGTTTGTGAATGTTTGTGATAGCTGGATACCCTGGAGGCGCGAAAGATGTTGGGCCAGCAAACCATGAAAGAGTCTGGCATGACCTTCGCACGAGCAGTGTACAAGAAGGTGGGAAAGTGACCGATATGATGATACGATATCGAATGTTTAAGTTTTGCACATTCTCTTTATGTTCAGACCCCCTATATGTAGAGGTGTTGAAACTGGATGGAATTGAGAAGATTTGGAGAGCGGAGAATGCTTGTCATGGGGAATTCAAGCAACCCGGCTGATTAAGGGTGATACTTCACCACCCACGTTTGCAATGTTTGAAATCGGTGATTCACCAAATTGGGGTTGGTGAAATCCCATTGAAATGGCTCAATCAGTCATTGATCAGCCATTCATGCACCATCAATACACCATGAATTTGTCATGTCATGTATACACCATTAATACATCGTTCATACACCATTCATACATCATTAATACACCGTGGTGCAGGCGGAGCGCGAAGCCTATGCTGAAGCCAAGGATCGTGCCACCCGCAGCGCTGTGAAGATGGCCACCGAGGTTCGGGCCTTCGGGCCAAGCATCCTGCTGGATGCTTTTGGTGGTTCCCCAATCCTCCAAAGTTCTTTGAGCGCATGGTATATGATATATAGGTACTAAATATAGGCCATTAATGATATTTATAGGCCATTAATGAGTGCAATGTGTGCCATGTGCTTCATGAGATAGGGATTCAATTGGGATTCATAGATATTCAATATGCGCTCCTGTGCAGCTGACATCAACAGCCCGTTGTGTAGTCGGTGAACGTTCGCTGATTGCCTCTCAGGCAGCTCAGAAGAGAATTGACACCGACATCGAACGACAGGTGAAGGAATTCACGGAGGCAACGGTGCGGGTCGAGATCATAAGTCATACCCTCTGGTAAACTAACATAACTATAGAAAATCACCATTTTCAATGGGAAAATCCACTATTTCAATGGTCATTTTCAATAGCTATGTTAAATTACCAGAGGGTAAGTGTGGGTTCATTCTTTTCATTCTTCCGTGGGAAAGGCAGAGAAAAGGTCCGGTGCATCGAGTTGTGAAGGTTCCAGAGTTGATGGACGTGATCGGTCTCCTGTGACCAAACTGCCCTTCTCGATGTGTGACCGTGTGACCTGCAGCATGCCTTGTTTGAGAGCATCCATTCATATCCATTCATTGAACATGTGTGGATATGGGACATCATTGAACATCATTAAACACTAATACTGTATTATGAAATAATATGAAATAAGGAATAATGGAATTATGCACTATACCCAATAAGGTTTCGGGTCAAGCAAGCCCCTCGTGCGGTCACTGACCCTTGAAAGCCTTAGCGGGCCACGCCCGCGGGTACGCCATAGCTGCTGCGTTTTGGAACTGGTTCGCCCTCCTTTCGTTTGCAGCTCTTGATCTGGGGTCCCGGCCTCGTTAACAATCCCGGGTGCGTACCTTCTGAATCTACGTCAACGAGCTCGGGCTTAGCATTGGTGGTCGAGTACATCCTGCCTTTTTGCTTCCCTGGGGCCTTTGACCTTTTTATTTGGAATCGACCCTTAGCGATTGCTCCTTCCGAAGAGCTGGACTATCCTTTGTGGTCTTGCACTATATGATACAGTTGCTCTACCTGCTGATCCTTCTTTGGGGACGAGTTCATCACCACGGCCCTGGCAACGCAGAGAAGGCGACAACGCCGACAACGTGCTATTGTGCGGCGCCAGCTTTGGCTACATCGCACGGGCTACATCACCTTGAACAGCAAGCGTATCGAGCACTACATTCAGACTCTTTCATCACATCATTCTGCAGACATCCATCACCTTGCGCAGCTCAGAGCTACCCTTCGAGGCAAAGTCAGAGCAATGGCGGAGTCCTGGAGATGCAAAAGATGTTGGAAGGTGTTGAGTGGAAAACACCAACATTGCCCCCATTGCGGTGGACGATGGGATCGTGTACAAGATACTTCCTTCCAGCCTCCAGAGCGAAGGGAGCAAGAGCGTCCATCATCTCAAGGACGTGGCAAGTCCCCGCATGGGAGAAATGTGCAATGGACTGGGGGTCAGAGACACCAACAAGCAGCCTCCGAAAGGGGAAGAAGTGGCTCCGAAGGTGTTCGCAAACGGCGGCCGCGGGGAAAGAAGAAGCAAAACGAAGACCTGCCCCAATATGCAGCACCTACATTGCCGCCCCCTTGGAATCAATCTGGCAATCTATCCAAAGAAGCGTCCAATGCTTCAGAGGTCGTCGAGATGACAGCAGCAGAGACAGCAGAGATGATGACTGCGCTTCGAACTGCCTACTCCGACCCACAGGATATGCCAGACCATGTGAAGAAGATGGTGGACAAGTACGAAAACAAGTCAACAGAACAACTCCGCAAGGAGATGCATCGTACGACAGACACCATCAGCAAGGCGAGGAAGTTGCTCCACCAGCTTCAAGATGCACGAAGCAAACATCGGAAGTCATGGTTGACACACCTAGGCAACCTCGCAAAGACCCTCGAGAAGCAGATCGAATCCTTCGAAACACAACAGAAGGATTACCAAGACAGAATCCAAAAATCAAAACGAGAAATTCAAATCTCCCGACGGAACTTGCAACGTCTCAATGCTCAGGCTGCCGAGACTGCAATCCCGGAGATGACCATCGAAGACGACGAACAAGTCGAACCACCATTACAAGATGCAGAAGAAGCCGAATTACGACAGCAGCTCCACAAGATCATGCGCCATTGCTTCAAGACCTCCGCAGTCAAAGACACCATCGACATCGAGTCAGAAGACGAGGAGGATTTGGTCATGGAAGGGCACACATTGAAGCGCCCAAGATCTTGCGAGCCTGGCTCCGGTGCTGCTGCATCCTGAGCATTGGCAGTGGATGCACAAGTCTCAGTGAGATTGGGATCCATGAGCCGCTCAATCCCTGGAGCTTTGATGCAGACTTTATGGCCGATGCCTATGAGTTCAGGAATCATGACACTGATCTTCATGCAGCATGCCCTGAAGGTCCATCAATCTACAGCTCCAATCAACATGACCAATTTTGGCAAGTACCTGTACATTCAGCGTCACTTGACCCGATTTGTCTACATCCATTCATGGCGATACATGAAGCATATTTGCTCCAAACACAATGTCAAGGTTCTCCAAACGATTTCCAGATCTCCTGTCCTTGCGCAGCACAGTGCTCTGCCCTGCATACGACACGGCATGCAACCAGCAAGACGGTGAATTTTTCTCCACATATTGAGCTTCGAATACTCTATGAGGATGAGATCCGAAATCCTACAACCATCTGGATGCATGAGGGAGCTCTGCATCAATGGGAACGGAAACTTTGGCAGAGGCGACCTGTTGCCCCAATCTCTTACCACAATTCAGACCAACGCACACAAGGAGCGTATGAATCGTTTCAAGCTGAATTTGGTGAGGGCAATCGACATCGGGCACACAATCCTCTTGACATTCGTCATCAACCCATTTTCATTCAAGATTTGGAAGTTGCCATGCATCAATATGGAGATCTCAATGTGAACACTCAAGAGCGGAGCATGGAAGTGCTTTCATGGTACCTTCATGGACATCGCCTACGTGAGTGCAGACGTCCTAGACGGGTACATCTACCTGAAGATTTCTTGCAGTGGACGCGACTCCTGAAGAATGCATGGATCGATGAAGTCAACCAACGACAAGAGGTGCAATTTTATGTGTTACTTCCTGATCCACCAGTGTCGCAAGAGAATGATGAACATGCGGCTCAAGTTGTTTTGGTGCAACAACCACATGATCATGACAGTGCAGCTATTTTCACCAATATCTATCACTCAACTGAGCGCATTGCGATCCAGAGGTTAGTCCGTTTTTGTCCCTATCGACTCCATCGAGCTGATGTTGTGGCTCTTGCGGAAGTACCCATACAAGTGCAACACAGACCCATTCAAGCCTATTATGGTTGGCGGCCTATCTTAGATGAACCGGAGGCCCCGTTACCAATTCCAAATGGAGGCTCCATTGTGGTCCACATTAGAGCGCTACAAGAAACACACCAACCTGCCAGTTTCAATGAGGATGCTGCCATCAATGCTGTGGAAGATGAGGACATGGCCACCAGCCAAATTGGATCAGCCAGACAACGGAGTAGATCACCACACCGACAGCCTGAAGAGCAAACGGATGATACTACATCCTTCATGGCCCGACAACCTCATCTGCGACCTGATGGTCGAGCACCAGATGCCGCAGTATCCAGTGATGATGATTTACGATCGCAACCAAGCACTACTGGTACATCCTATGACAGTGATGCGCCGTCACAATTCTATCACCTATATTGCAGAAATGCGCCAATGACTGCAGCCAGAATCAGTACGATCTCGTGGGAGGCAATGCAGAGCTCTATGCGTCATGCGCTTCAATTGCCACGACATGAAGTTCAAGCAATACACATGGTTGCATACCTCCCCCCGGACTTGGTGGCAGCGGCAACACAAGTGGCTTTGATTCAAAGACCCTTGGATCTTTCTCCTGGTGATTCACGTCGTCTTATTCTGCTGGACATCATATTTCACGGACATCATGTGCATGATTTTCATGTGCGTCGATATGTGGAACTTCTTCGCAAAGACACGACGAGACGTATCATTCTGGAGGACCTTGGACTTCAAGCCTACTGTGCCACAGTACAACAGCGTTGTCTAGTCCATGTGAATGACAAACTGATTGCACTTCATGACCATTGCCTTCTTGAATTGCGCCATGGGGACTACATCAGGATTGATCTTCCCCCACATCAGCGACTTCGAGAAGTGCCAACGCTTGCCACTGCATGCTGCCTGCGTGATGGACATCAGATTGCTGATATCCCACGATTCTATGCCACAGCACGGACTCCATTCGAATGGGCTCCGCTACCACCAGAAGAACCAGATGAAAATTCATTTCTGCAAAAAACCACTAGGTGCCTAACAGCTGAGCAGGTGGCTCACACTCAGCGACCTAGTGAAGATCGCAGAATTCTGCACCTTTCTGACTACATTCCTCCATGTGAGACGGTGAAAGTCGATCTTTCCACAGTCCAATGGATGAGTTATGAACTGGCCTGCATTCCACTCAATCTATGGGAAGTATGGCCGGAAGACTTGCAACTGCCAGAAGTCACCCAACAACACCTGCAATCTCTCGGCAGTCCACGGAACGTCCTGCCGACGGATGTACATTTCTATGTTGATGGATCTTGCGTCAAAGGAAGTGTTGGTGCAGGTATAGCCTGCTTCATTGATGATGAAGATGGAACATACTTTGCTGGTTGTATGGCCAAAGCTGTTGAAGAAGCCCTTCATGCCTTTCAAGGTGAACATGCGGCGATGGTTTGGGCCCTTCTTTGGGCCATCCAAATCAGCTCTTTCTGCATCAACATGCATGGCACAGCAATGATCAACTTCCACTTCAACTTCGATGCGATGAATACGGGCTACCAAACTGCAGGTTTTTGGCGCACCAAGGAGCATGGGGCCTGGCGCACACTGTTGCGTGCACTTGCACAAATTCTTGAGCAAAGGCACAGCCAAGACCACATTTTCTGGCAACACGTGAAAGCCCACAGCCAGAACCCCAGAAACGAGCTTGTAGACTCCCTGGCAAAGTTTGCAGCACAATGTCCCTGGAGAGTTGAAGGCTCTCTTGCTTGGCGTCATTGGTTGGAAGATGTGCCGAAGCTCAACAGTCTGCAATGGATATGGTACCTGGAACGTTTGCATACACAGCCTGCAGATGCGCCTCTATTTGATGGAGCTTTCCTTGTACACAACTTGCGGTCTATTGCACCAACGCTCTCAGCCCCTTATGATGCAGAGTGCCAAAATGAAAACAATGAGAGATGGCAAAGCTGTGAAGTCTTCCTCACTCTTGCCACCGCCAACGTTCTCACGCTGAAGAATGACAAAGAGCCTGGAAAAACAACCATTACCAAACAGCAACTTCTCCAACAACAATTTGCTGCTGCCAAATGCCAAGTTGTTGGACTACAAGAAACACGTCACAAGCGAATTGTGAACTCCAACAACCCTTGGTATCATATGGTTGTGCATCCAGCAGATTCAAAAGGACACGATGGGGTGCAAATGTGGTTTTCCAAGAATATACCCATTTACGAAGAGGGTCCACTGATCACTCTCAAACATCTGTCCATTGTTGCTTCAACTTCCACGCTGCTCATTGTCAAACTGAATATGCCTTCTTTGAGAGCGCTCTTCATCACTGGCAGGGCTCCGCATGCTGGAAGACAGGAAGCTGAATCAACGACATACTGGCGCAACATTTCCACGAAAATCAGACCCTACAGCAAGGATCACCATGTCTTCTTTCTTGGTGATACAAATGGACATCTTGGTGAATTCAGTACAACGGCAGTTGGTGCTCATGGAGGAATCCGTGAAAACATTCCTGGCCGTGAATTCCACAATTGGATGCTTGAACATCAACTATATGCACCAAGCACATTCCAGGAGACCCATAGAGGTGAAGAGCATGCCACGCATTGTTGTCCTGTTGGTGACCACTTCACTCGCATTGACTACATTGCAGTGCCTACAACCTTCACGAAGGATATGGTTGAAACCTGGGTGGAGCATGAAATTGATCTTTGTGGAGAGCGACCAGACCACTATGTTGTGATTGGCAAACTCCGCTACCACCATGAGTTCAGAATGAAGCCGGTCACGAAGCGCAACAAATTCCGTGTGAACAGACATGCGCTGACGGTGCAACTTCAAACTCCATGGGCACGTCGGCAACTTGCCCAAATGCTCACCAATGCGCCATGGACCACTGATCCCCATGCTGCCGCTGAGCGTCTTGAGCATCAGACCAGACAGGCAATTGCCAAAATAGTCCCGCACACTGTCCAATGGAGGCGAAAACAGCATGTACCTGACAAAGCATGGCAACTTGTCGAGCAGAAGAAACAACTCTTCCGACAATTACGAGCACTGCAGAAAACCCAGCGCTTTAACATGATGCAAATGCTTTTCCAAGTATGGCGACAACCGCAAACACATGTGGCTACAACCATTTCAGCTTGGAGAACATGGCAAAAGCTACACAACCATGCAGTGGCCACTACCATGCAACAGTATCGGCTCACCACACGGCAGGTAACAGCAGCAATTCGTCAAGCTGACTTGGACTATTACCTTCAACTTGCCACTGATGCTGGCCATGCATATACGCATGAGGGCTTGACAGCTATCTGGAAAAAGATCAAGATGGTTCTCCCCAAAAATCGAAGCAAACAAGTGCATGCACGTCATGACATTGACGCTGGTTTGCAACGCCACTTTGCAGCCCTTGAAGCTGGCACGTGTTTTTCAGATGTGGAAGCCAAGCAACGCTGCATTGACCGACACAACCGAGATCTGGATGAACAATTGATGCCAGCTTTTGTTGAACTCCAAGAGCTTCCAACGCTTGCTGAAATTGAAGAACTTTGCCTCAAACAACGCCCACATCGAGCCGCTGGATTGGACATGATTCCTCCTGAGATCTGCAGATTGGCCGCAGCAACGATTGCTCCCTTTCTCCACAATCTCATCATGAAGGCATTCCTTCAAGGGACTGAGCCCTATGTCTATAAGGGTGGACTGCTGTGCCCAATTTGGAAACAGCGACAGCCTCGTGATGTGCCCGAGGGCTACCGAGGCATCTTGCTCGCCAACGTGTATGGAAAAATCCTGCACGCATGGGCCCGCAAAAGGTTGTTACCTACCCTCGAGATCCGACGTGCTCCTGGGCAACTAGGTGGGCTTCCGTCACAACAGACGGTCACAGCAATCCAACTTTTGAGGCTACATGGTAAAGTCTGCCGAAGTAAAAAACTCACTTCTGCAGCTGTTTTCATCGATCTCAAAGCGGCGTTCCACCACATACTGAGGGAGTTCATCTTTATTGTGCGTGAACCTGCCACTCAAGCCACCTTGCTTCGAATTTTTGATCCCAATGAATTTGACCTCTTACAATTGGCCCATGATCTCGATGCAGCAGCACAAGAGAAGCCTGCAGACATTCCTGCAGGTTTGCGGGTCTTCCTCCATGATTTGCACAAGGAGACATGGTTCAAATTACATGCAGATGATGTCCACACTACTGCCACAGAGAGAGGAACGAGACCCAGATCACCTTTGGCTGACATTGGCTTCAATTTATTGATGACCAAAGTCATGCACCAATTGGCAGCCAAGCTCGCGGACATCCCAGAGTATGTGCAAGGCTGTCAAGCCCTGGGTACAACCATCCCTCCGCTGGCATGGGTTGATGACCTCACCATCCCTTTGGCGGTGACACATCCTAGCTTGCTGCTACCATTGGTCAAAGACACAACGGCCCTTTTGCACATGACCTTTCGTGCTCATGGCCTCACCATGAACTTTGACAATGGCAAAAGCGAAGCTGTCATCATGTACCGGGGCAATGGTGCAGCGGCATATAGAACCCAGCTCTTCGACCGGGAAACCCCACCTTGCGTTGTGGTTGACACAGACTCCCATATCGTGACCCTGCGAGTGGTGGCAACATACCGACACCTAGGCTCCCGATATACTATGGATGCCGACATTGAACATGAGGTCAACTCACGCATCGCAATGGCCCGACAGTCATATGAAGAGCTCAAACGACCCATCTTTCAGAACAGAAACATTCCCATCGAAGGTCGGTTTCAACTTTACAACAGTCTCATCATCTCACGACTGATGTATGGATGCGCGGTGTGGTCTGAACTTCCACGAGCCCATTTGCATAGGCTGGAAGCATTTCTTATTGATCATCAACGACGCATCGCGAACATTGGATTTTGGAATGGTGCAGAAATGACAGATCGTGATTTCAGACTTCATCATGAACTCCCACCCTTTCAAGTGGTTTGGACTGGACACCGCCTTGCTTATCTTCAACATGTGGCGAAGCATGGCTCGGTCTTCCACCGACAGCTTCTTCTCATGGAGTTTGACCTTGGCAAAGGATGGTTGAGAGAAGTTGTTGAAGATCTGAATTGGCTGACTGATCTTGTCACCTTGCCATTTTCCTTTGATGCGCAGAATCCCAATTGGGAGACAATTTGGACTGCACTGAAGACTTGTACAAGATGGAAATCTATGATCAAACGTGCTAGTCGCAAGTATGTCCTTCAAGAAAGGGTTGCGCGTGATGTATCCCACTATCACAAGTTGATTGCCGACGAGATCTTGCAATTTGGCTGCAACCTTTGGTTTGATGATGACCCTGCTGATCCAGCCAATCTACCTCAACACAGATGCCGAACATGTGAAAAGAATTTCAAAACAATCCAAGCCCTTGCGGCCCATGAGTACCAGAAACATGGCCTTCTCTCGATCGAGAGACCATACATCCAGTCTACGACTTGTCCAGGATGTCTTCGTGATTTCCACACAACATGGAGGGTGCAACAACACTTGCGCTATCGTAGCAATGGATGTTGGGACCGCATTTATGGGGTACGGAATATTGATACACCCATCACCATCCATCTTCCTGATCACCTTCGACATGTGAAACGGTTACCAGCAGTCCGGCGCCAACATGGACCACTGAGACCCACTAGTCGCCAGCGTGAGAGGATTGCACTTCGAGCCCGCATTGCACATCTACGTTCAGAAGGAGCAGATATGTATGCATGGTGGCACCCAGAAAGTGACCCTGAGCTGACCGACCGAGCTTGTGCGTTGTTCACTGATCGGCTTCTGGAATGGTGTGCGAAGGGAATGGTGGATGCGATTGATTTTCAGAATATGTTATTCCAAGCCATTTTTGCTCTGGACATTGATGAGATGCAGGGAGGACGACTTTTTGTGCATTGGATTGAGACTGGTTTCCATGACGCCATGCCGGAAGATCTTGACCCTGACCTTATTTTTTGTCTTGAAGAAGCTCACATGGCTATGCTGGAGGACATTCCTATTTGGACTATGCGCCTGCAGATGAAGCGACTTTTGGATTTGTGGATGAACCTGCCATCAGATGAGGACAACAACCCTGAGGTGACTACATCAATGCGGTCATCTTTACCTTGCACGGGTCAGCGCATTCACTCAATCTCCTCGAGATATGCTCTACTTGGGGATGAAGAACAACAGCGCACGAAATGGCGCATTCTGGACCAACTGCCCAGAAGCATGACCTCACGCAAGGGTCCCTACTATGTGGTGCATCTCTATTCAGGGAGACGCCGTTCTGGTGATTTCCACGCGATGATGGAGCAGCTCTTGGCAGCGATTCCAAATGCAAACATCCGCATTCTGTCGCTGGATACAGCGGTTGATCCACGCCTCAACATCCATGACATGAAACTTTGGACCTTCCTCCTGACGGTGGCCACTGAAGGTCGACTTATTGGACTCTTACAGGGCCCACCGTGTGAAACCTGGTCATCCGCAAGGTTTCATAAACAACTGGATGAACACGACAATGAAGTGCGTGGCCCCAGGCCCCTCAGATCTGCACAGCAACCCTGGGGACTGGCACTTTTGACGTTAGCTGAACTTGCCCAGATTTTCACGGGCAACTGCTTATTGCTCAAAGGCCTCTATCTGGCGGTCATTGTCGCGCTCAGAGGCGGTGCCGTGTTTTTAGAGCACCCTGCGATCCCGCACAATGAAGAATATCCCAGCATCTGGCGCTTAGGACTGGTACGCCTTCTTCTGAGACAACCCCATGCACTCATGCGACGCATTACCGTCGAACAATGGCGGTTTGGCTCAGTTGGTATCAAACCAACGACACTGATGTACGCTAATGCTCCGCTACCAGCAGCTCTACAGCAGTGCCAGTTGGATTCCGTACAACGTCCTGAAGGTCTCCTCATCGGGAAGAACTCCAGCGGGCAATACAAAACGGCGGCGGCAAAAGAATATCCTGAGGCGCTGAACAGGAGCTTTGCGATTGCCCTGACAGCCTTGGTGACCAAATGTGCCGCCACATCAGAGCACTATAGCAGTGACATCGAGCCATATGGCTCTGAATTGGTTGCGATGGCAGTTAATACTGAGTATAACTCCATCCAACCGGATTACCAACCTCACTGAGGGATTGGTTTGCATGAAGCGGCACGAGACCCCTCAGATGCCTGGTGAAAAAAAACTATACCCAATGGTATAATGACATCAATCCCTGTTAATGATCATTGAACATCATTATCCCTATTAAACATCATTGAATCTGGGATGATGAAATAGGTCACTTCTACTTCAAGAATATACCACCCTTTTTCCACAACCATAAATCAACCAGATCAAACCATCCATTGAGCAGTGACCGAGTGACCCAACTTGTTGAGCAGATCGTTCCGGGCTGCCCATCTATTGGGGATGATCATAATATGAATTAACAGTATAGATGGTCATAATTATAGTATTATTATGAATTACCTATCTATTTATTGGGGATAATCATCATAATCAGTTCTTTGGTCTTTTGTAATTAACATGTATTAACATGTATTAACATGTATTTAACCAGCCCTTGTTAAATTACTATTAATTACTGATATTAACCTTCCTGGATGGATACTTCAATTACTGATGTTGTTTTGGTGGAATGCTTTGGATCCAATGGCTGGCCAGGCACATCGTGAAGAGTTGGAAAAAATCGCATTGGAAGATGCGGTGAACAGCACAGATGCCCTGAAGAAGAGCTTGCAGGACACGAACTGTAGAGATGCGAAACATGGAAACTATCGCCTAGCGATCCTGACTTATAATATGTATATATTATGCGAACTATGTGTGTATAAGATTGTATAAGTATGTATAATTATACATATATAACATTATATATATATATTATCACATATACATATAGTCATATATACATGTATACACATATATACACATTGTGCTTATCATTACATATCCATGGTTTGATGGGGTCGATTCATAACTTTTTTTCTTCGGGTGCAAATTACTCTTTTCGACTGGGATTGTAGATGTCAGTTGCCACACCGTTTCCGTTGTTGTGCTGTGTTTTTGTAACATGTATGCCATGATCTCAAAAGAACACCCAAAAGATTGGGGAATGGTCATCAATCCATTTGAAATTTGAATAGCCATTAATCCTTCAGGGATTTATGGTTCCCATGGTTCAATGCTTCCCTTTTTGGTGGGATGACCATGCCAAGCCACACCATCAAGCTTCACCATGGCCCATCTTCGGCTTTATACAACCCATGGTAACATCGGTGGCGGTTTATCCGTGGCTTCATCCATTGTTGCTTAATGTTGGTTACACCATGTTATACCATAATTTGACATATAATGTCCTCATGACCCAGTATTAAACAATAGATTCAGAGCAGCATGGCATTGGGTTCTCATGGTTTTCACACCTTGTTTGGTAGAATACGTGCAACAAAAACACCGCTTGAAACGACAGCCGTTTCCTGAACGGCCAGGAGGATGCCATGAAGGAAGCCATGCGGAAAGCAGTGGAGAAGGCGGGCAATTTTCGAGTTTTGATGGACGGCTTAATGATCAATGCCATAAAATATGTAAAAATCTATGTTTGTATGGTTCGTAGTGGTTAGGTGTGGTTAGTATATGTCACAATCGATGGTTTGTAATGGTTGATAATGGGGCTATAACGGTATATTCAACAATAATGAATGAAGAATGAATAATTGGAATAGCCTATGATCAGTTCCCAAAGGTTTGGAACCTAACTATGGTTTTGTTTTGAAACGGGACCCCAAAACGGCAATTCTACAATGTTTAAATGGAACATGTTTGATAGGCCATTGGCGCAGTGTTCCAAGGGTTTGACGCACAGATTCTGGCAAGTTCATGACAAGTCTGGCTGCAATTCTGCCAGGATGATAGCCATGGTATCTTAATTTGTTCATTAGCCTCTGGCCATTTCACCTTGCAATGGATACTAACTCCTAGTGGAGAAATCTGGGACAACCATGGAACTACATGGGCTGATTTTCCATGGTGAAATTACTGGAGGATCATTTTGTTGATCCGGGAGGCGCATCAGAATGTCAACTCTAAAGAAGGAAAACCACATCATAGATGTCATTGATTATCATATTATATTATATATATATATTATATTTATACATACTTTACATCTTCCCAATTCTTTCAACTTTCTAAACATCCCATGCTCTGGACCACGAAGAGTTTCCGAAGACACTTCTGGGGGATCCGTTTTGTGGCTGCTTCAAGTGGCGAATACCAGGAGGTCTTGTTTGGGGCGTTGTTATAAAATGTTAAAACATACCTCGGAAGAAAACATGAACTGACTATGCCAAAGACATATATCATATATACATATGTAATTATATATTTATATCATATAACATATAACATATCTACAACATGTAAACAATATGTATGATATGTAGATATATACAACTGTGATGTCCCCACGTTGCAGCAAACACCTAGTGCCAGGTGAAGTCTGAAGCACCTCTGGAAGCCCAGCGCAAAGCTGATGCCAAGGCAGGGGGGTGGAAGAATTCCTGCACCACAAGGATGATTGAAACCCCTATCTAAAAATAGGATTATAATGGGATTATAAATGGATTATATTGGACTAAATAATGGGATTATAATTGGCTAAACCATGCTAAACCACCTATCAACTGCTGCAGGATTTCGCAACCATCCGCAGTATGGAATACCCTATAGTTATGTATGGTGATATACAGTGTAGCCCCAGTTTTAAAAAAGGCTTATAAACCACTGAGGCTGAAAAACTGGGATGCACATCGATCTCGGAGCTGCTTTAATCCAGTGAAATCTACTTGTACATTTGATGGTCTAGGCTGGGAGCAACCCCTGGTTTGATGTGCATTCCACACTGTAAGACTGTACGTAGCAATCCTAGTTAGTATCTTCACGTCATGCACTTTGGCGTTGTGGATGATTTCGGGCAATCTCAAGAATGGGCAACGGATGGTTTTCTCACAGTTTTGGGCAGCTCCTTGTCATTGGGTCCATCCATCCTCCTCCATCCCACCTATTGGCCCTGCACTTATAGCAACCCCAAGAAAGATAAAACACTCCTTTATCACCAATTTGGAGGTTTCCTAAAGTAGGGTTACCACTATAAATCATCCCATTTACTAGACATTGTTTCCATTTTTTTTCTGTAAACCATCCAGCAAAGCTGGGGGTATCCCGAGGAAACCCGCCAGCGTTGAAAAGGCCAAAAAGGCGGCGGAAGATCAAGCAACGAAGCTGGCCACAGAGGAAGCTCAGGAAGAGGCAAAGGAAGGCGCTGGCGGAGAAATCCATGGCAATGGTGGCCATATGCCAAAGGGAATTGGAGAACACCACATACAGGCAACCTGTTTGTAGGGGGATGTTGAAATCCCCAAGTAATGATTAATGTTATGCAATTTTTGATAACAATCGGGGGATATTTAAAGTTTAAACTTCCAAACTTGTAGATATGTTTGAAGAGGAAAATATACCTGTGGACATACCCCACTATAGAATGCTGAAACTCAATTCGTTCGGGCATTTAAAAGGAAAAAAAACATGAGGCTTATGTCACTAGGAAATGGGAGGCCAGCCCAGCATTCTATACTGGGAAAAAGTACATTGGACCCTTGATTTTATAGAAACACCTGTTGAATCCTGCAAAATCAAGGTCCGAACTCGGACCCTGGAATGTTTAAGGGAAGGCACAAAGTGATGGCAAACATAGATGTTTGACTGAGGTGAGGAGTGCATAAGTATAGCTTGTCGAAGCCAGCTTGATGTCTACTCTTGGTTTCGTTGGCGGCTATGTAGAATGTGACAGCTTCTATAGAATCCTTGAGATGTGGAAACAGAAGTACCAAATAAGTATATCTGTTCTGCATTCTCATTCTCATTAGTGGAAACGAGGCGTTCACCATTCTGCCAGCCTTAGGGTAGCGGGGGCATTTGCTGAAAGGCCTGGAGAAGAAAGCTGTGATCAAGGCCAGAGAAGAAGCACAGGACAGATCCAGGGCACGTGTTTACATGTGTTTACGCCTTTCCCCCTGACCAGAAGTGAAGGCGAAATTGAATGCCAAGCCAATCCAACAGATGCATCATCATCATCATCATCATCACCATCATCATCATCATCACCACCATCATCATCATCATCATCATCACCATCATCATCATCATCATCACCACCATCATCATCATCATCATCATCATCATCATCGCAAATCCGTCCCATTACAATCTATGTAGATATTGTTAATCCGTTGTTAATCCATTGAAACATGTCTCACAAAAAGCCTACCCATAGCTCCCCATGGCTCCCCATACCCCACTGCCAGGAGAAGGCCAATGCCCAGGCGAAGGCCAAGGCCTTCGCTTCCGCCAAGGCTGAAGCAGAAGAAGCCGCCAAGGTTCGCTATGGCCGTGGGATTCACAGGAAGTGACTGAATGATTCACATCAGAAATGGGCCATTGTTTGGGGAAAACAACATGAACATGTGAATGACTATGACTATAATTTACAATTAATTATGTAGTCATCGCAGTGAGATCGTGACCGGATTCTTGGACAGACACCCAGAGGTTTCCACCCTTTTAAGGGGGTGTAAAAGTTGAAAACAACCCCAACAAAATCGGTGAAAGCATGTGAACATCATCTTCCAAACAGAAGTGTTTCCTTGGGGTCATATCGGATTTCAGAGGTGTTTATGAGCAGAGTAGAGGTGATATTGCAGCCAACCAGAGTCAATGTCAGTACTGCTCCCACGTTATATTTTGTGTCTGACTTGGGAGTTTGGGCACTCGGTCCAGCATGCCTGTAAGGTGTATACTCGAAGAGTGCGTCCTGCGATTTTTTTTACCATTAAGTATAGATTGGGTGCAACATCAAAGACGGTCATTCACAAAGTTCAAAGTGTCAACAGGTCTGTTCATTTTCCTTGAATTATCATGTAGCACTGTAGCACTGCTGTGATTTCGTCAAGCCTGAAATCAGCAAAGATCACTAAGTTTCCAACATATTTCTATCATATTTCTGACTAAATTTGGTAGTTTTATCCCATGTTCCCATGTTTTACTTCCTCACCCGGCCCAGGAACAGGCCACCAAGGCTGCCGGCGAGGCTGCGGAAATCTTGGCGGAGCAGAAGGTGTCGGGGGTGTCCCACGGGTGTCCCAAGTCACCATGGCTTTCCAAAAAATGTTTCAACTGGTTCATGACTTGGATGATTTTAGGAAACCAGATATATCCATTAATATAGCTTTAACTTGGATGATGATGATTAGGGGTAGCCCTATTTTAGGAAACCACCATAGCCATACAGATTGATCGGATCAGCAGTTCTGTGAAGAGCAACGTGCCTCCATACAGTGTGTATATATATAATATACATGATTTTCACATATTATGACTATGACCATATGTGATGTGATAGCCATGTGGCCAAAACAACATGGGGTTCTTCGGAGTCTCTCACCTGTTTCAGCGCAGGCTCGTAAGAAGGCTGAAGAAGCCGCTGTGGAAAAAAGCTGCCTGGAGACTCAGCCAATGGACCATGACCGTAAAAACGTATTGGATGATGGTTGATGATGGACATAAGACTGTTATTGTTCAAATATCTTTAAATTATAAGATAAGAAAGGCTTTCATGTGTAGCGGATTTCCTTGTTTGCTGGAGTTAGGTCCTTTTGTTTGTCAGGATGTTTTTTTTCACAGATTTAAAAGCAGCACAAACCATGAGGCAGATGTTCAACTGTCCCAATTAGCCAGGTTTAAGGGCAAGGAGTCATTTGGAGTCGAGATTTTAACATCCAAAAACAGTCAAAGATACATGTGTATGCATGTATGATATACAGTATATATAATTTAATCATATGTATATATATATTATACATAATACATATTTATATATATTATACATAGTACATATATATATATTATACATAATATATATATATATTATACATATACATATATATATACATATATATACATATATATATACATATATATATATATACACATAATTTTTATATACAGATATATATATATATATATATATTTAATCAATGATATATATATATTATACATACATATTTTTTCCTTGCGGCTACCAGTTGCTCTCGCAGCGGCCTATGCAAACTCCCATTATCCAACTGTTCACCCCGCAAAATCTGCGCCAATGTGTTGACCATAGTGCGTTGCGCACAATTTGGCCCACAATGCTAGTTCAGAGGTCGGCGGGTCCTGTGCAGAACAGATTGGAAATGAATTAATGGTGCGGGTCAATACCTCCGCAACAGCGCCACACATCGCCGGCGGGTATTCTTTCAGTGGCGATGTCCGCCACGACCCTGATTCATCCAGACCAATGGCGGTACTGCGCGGGAGTTCAACGCAGACACGCCACTGATGCAAAGCCAAAATCATGTTGGGCATGTTCAGGAGAAGAAGCTGCGTCGGCTTCGGCGTAGGAGCTCCGAGCAAACCCTGCGCAAAGCGACACGTCTCAACAGCTGGATGTTTCTGCAGCGCCTGAATGACAGGCAATTTCCAGATGCTGGGGGAAGTCAGCTTAGGTGGTGGCGCAGGGTGTTCCAGTAGACCACAGCCACCAGAGAACAGGAGCTCGATGAACGCCTGCAAAGCGAAGATCAGCAGCTCATTGCCAACGCAGACTTGGCACAATTCCCTCAGCTGCATGCTGACGAAACCCCAAAGCTCATCGGCGCTACGCACAGGGCGTGGTCCGCCTCTGCCGTTGTCCAATTTGTGCTCACGAGCTGCCGTCCAGGTTTCGCAGGGTGGTCCTGCAACAAAGGCGACGACTTTTCTGTCTCTGATCGCCCCCAGCCAGTAGCTTCTTGTGTCTTCATTCCTGGCGTCACCGTATTGCTGGTCAATGACGATGTCCATTGACACAATGTGCAACACGTAGCTCCCATCATTGTTCTCTCGATGAAAGTTCTCCAGGAAGAACTGTATGTCACCAGGCCTGCGTCTGCCTGAATAGGCGTGCAGCAAGACACGATGCCGTCCGAAGCTCTGAGGTGCGGAACAATGCTCTGCTGCAAAACCAAATTGCTGGCAATGTTGCTCCAGAGCCTCAAGGCTGGCAACAGTCTTCTCCTTTCCATTCGATCCTCCCAGAAACGTGAAGTGATCAGGGTCACAAAGCTGAGCGATCCTATGTCGCATTTGCTCGACTGAAAGTCCAGCGAGCTGCGCATCATTCTCTGTGAAGGCATTCTCGAAGAATCGAAGCGTACTTGTCCATAATGTCCATGAGATAGGATTGTCCGTGGCAAAGGACCGCGCAACCTTCTCGAAGGACACCAAGCACATGCTGGGCTCAACCAGATCTGTGAGGTAGACAAAGAAGTCGTGGTCGATCTTCGGGTCCTCTCTCAGTCTGGGAGGCTGATTCATCGGTCCCTCCGCTTGGACAGGTGGTAAAAGGCGATCGTGTTGATCTGTCAGCGTGCGATCAATGGCCGATCCTGCCCCTGGTGCCACCTCGAGAGCTGGCGGGCGGCTCTGGAGGATACTTCTGCATCGGGCAGAATAGTGCAAGTGTGCCTTGGTCTTCTGCATCGTGTGAAAGACTCGGAGGCACGCCGGGCACGTCGGTTCTGTGAAGAATCTCCGAACAGTTGCAACATGCCCATGCTGCTTGAACATGTGTGCTGCCTCCCCTGCCTTCGTTGTGCATCTAAGCTGGCAATGGAGACATCCAAATCTCACAGGCTGATCTTCCTCCTGTCGGCCTTCTCGTTCACAATTTTGATCCGTCCCTTCCTTCTGGAAGATCAATTGCAGTCGCTCAACCGCGTAAGCATGAAATTCTCGCACCTTCCATGATCTCTGCATCTGCATGGATTCATGTTCAGTGGCTCGACGGATCAGGCGCTTCCAGAACTTGGGATAGTGCTTGATGATGCGATGCCAGTGTGCGTAGTCATCTTTTGGATGTGGGAGATCTGAGCTTCGTCGTAGCTGCGTCCACATCCAAATCAAGTCATCTTCCAGGTATGCGCACCAATCAACATCTGCTGAAAGAAGGCCCCAATCGTGTGGCGTGCCACAACGGAAAAGAGTGCCAAGATAGCGCAATCGTTGCCGACGCAGAAGAGTGTCAGGTGATGGCAAGCCAACGGTCGCCAGGAGCTTCTCTGTGCACCAATGTTGGTCACCAGGCACCTTCAAAAGCCGTCTGTAAAGCTTGAGGACGGCTGAATGAAAGGTGTGCACTGTACGATCATCTGTGATCAGCCAACTCTCTGAGCCATAGAGCAGCTTTGTCATGATGAGAACTTGGAATAGTTCACACCTCTTCCGCAACGGAATCTGCTGGTTGTGGTACAGCACCTTTCTATGTTGGTTGAAAGCGGCATGCGCCAATGCCAATCTGCGTTTCAGTTCTGTTCGTTGATCAAGTCCATGATGAAGTAAACCACCCAAGTGGAGGTACTTGTTGGTGATCGGCATGTCATATGCCTTGTGCTCCGTAAGGATTGGCACTGTAAGTGCCGCATTGGGTCCGAAGAGCTCAATCTTAGTCTTACGCGAGTTGCGGCCTCGCAGACTGAGCAAAATTTCAGACTTACCTTTCTTCAAATTCGGAGACATCCCATGCTCAACACAGAGCTCCAAAAGTCTGCCAGCTGTCTGGGTCGCCTTGTCAATTAGTGAGGTTGCAGTGGAGGCACTGATGCAGACGGCAGTGTCGTCCATCCACGTCGGCCCAATGAAGCTGGCATTCTCTTTGTCAGCATCAGTAGTTGGTGCTGTTTGGAATAAATTGAGCTGTGGCAGCACAGGGTATTGATCAACAAGATCGTTGTGCTCCATGTATTCTTGCAGTCGAAGAAGAACACGGGCCCATACATAGCTGAAGCAGACATCAGCAAAGGGGTCTCCCGGCCTAGACCCAAATTGCGTCTCCACGACGTCTTGCTGTTCTTTCATCCAGAAGTGCGTATTGCAGTGAATCGCTGCAATACTCTTCTGATAGTGTTGCGGGAGTCCAGCCATGTGAAGTGCATTTGGACCATCAAGAAGTTGCCAAAGTTCATGAAGCGCAGACTCCGGCATCTTGAGCTTGTGCAGGAAGTCGGCAAGCGCCTCATCGCTGATGGCGGTTGTCATGCAAAGTGGGCGGAAAATTCGATAGAACGCTTCAGTCAGGTCAACAAAGACAATAGCTGCGCAATCACCACATCGATGCGCGTGTCTGAGATGCGCTCGGACTTGATGAAGGCCATATGTGACCGGCAATCTACGTTTGCCGCCCACTTGTTGTCTCTGAAGAAACTTCTCGAAGATGTCCGCCTGGCTGGTGCGAATCGTTCGATGGATCGCTTTACTGATCTGACTAGAGATCAGAAGAGACCGGAATGATTCGCAGAGATGCTTGGCCCCGCGTCCCTTGTACGCTTGGACGAGGACTCCGCCTTTGTATGAAAGATCTTCTTGGCCATGTAGAAGCAGTTTCCACAGTGATGGAAAAACATGCATGGCCATCTCCGCAGGGAAATAGTGGAGAAGTTCACCTGGGATGTCATCAGCGCCACGTGCTTTGCCGCAGGACGTGGAACGCATTGCAATCTCAAGATCTGTCAACGTGGGCATGTCAGTACATTCGAGTTGGAGTTCAGTCAATCTTTGCATGGACAAATTGTCCCTCCATCTCTGTCTCAGAACAGTCCACGGAATACGCTCGCCACCTTCCATGCTCTTGAAGAAATCGCCCCAAGTGGACAATGCTTCCTCAGGGGTGGTGCATGGAGTTCCAGTCGCGTTGTGCACAAGTGGGATGGTCTTCTTCTTGCACATCTTGGGGTTTGTTGGGCCAATGTAGCTGCGTAGACAACGAAGGATTCCTGATGCAGGAGTCGCAGCGTCGATGGCTTCTAAGCTTTCCCGTAGGTGCACTTGCTTCGCATGGCGGAGTCCTTGTTGTAGTTTTTTGGCATAGTTCTTGTATTCAGCCAACAACTTGATTTTTCTGCAAAGGAGTGTGACCGTCTCCTCGGCTGACTCACCATGGTCAATGTTGGCCCTGCTTCGTTGCCAGGCGCGAAGAATGTCACGCAGAGCTTGTCGTCTGATGTACTTCTGGAGCTCTTGTACCTTCTTCTTCAAGCGAAGTTTTGATGTACGCCATTGCCAAAGTTGCTCAGTGATGTAGGGCTTCTTGGCAATGCGTGGCGCTCTTGGACTTCGTCGCATGGCCAAATGTAGGCTTGCAGCTAGATGTCGTGCCTGCGTCTCCACATCTGTATGCCAGGGACAGACGGAGATTGTGGTGAGTTTGTCCCTCACAGCAGTGCGTGAATCATAACTGCTCCAGTCGGGTTGAGGACATGCCTTTTGTTCCTTCTTGTGCGTGTCAGCAGCAGTCCACTCCATCTGGATGCCAACTGCATTGTGGTCATCGTTGATAGTACCAAGATCAATGGTGTCGATGACGCTGGAATAAGTGCAGAACCATCGCCACGAACGAGGAATGACCACATAATCAATGCAGTG